TACCACCCCTTAAAATACTTGCACTTATTTCTGGGACACCCTATATATTAATTGATTTTCGGATTCTGGGAGAAACATAAAGTTGAGTTTCATTAGAGAAGTATATGACTAAAATGTAAGGTTTTTGACATATTTAACATTTTTTAAAAATGAAGAACAATTCGTAAATTACAATAAAAACTACCTAAATTGGAATTTACCCGGTATGGCCTAATATGTAGTTAAACTAACTATTGTACTTTAAATCATATTAAAACTTGATCCAAAAAGTTATACAGGGTGTGACAAAATTGATATTGAAAATTGGTCACCTTTAAAAGCATGTTACTCTCTTTTAAATGGAATACCCAGTATATTATTCCGATATTCAATAGAGAATTCATGTCTCTTCAAAATACTATTAAGGTTGCATGCCTAGCCCTCAAACAAAGATTTTCCTAGATATTTTCTAGATTAGGATTTGATCTGAGTAGATCTTTATTATTTGATAAAATCTAGGTGGTTGTGATATGTCTGACGTTACTTCAACATACATGGCTGTCTAACTAGTCCAATTTTAACAACTAGTTGCAGTTTTATTTTGTCAGTTAAACAAAAATTCTCAGAAAAATTTCAAAACAACTTTTTTATGTTTACTTTAGATGCTCTATACTTCCTTTGCTATAAATATCGAAATCTTAAATCATACAGGGTGTTTAAAGTTGTACCCCAAAGTTTCTAAAATATAAAATAATTTTTTTTTTCTGTTTTTCAACGGAACACTCTGTATATTATTGTTTTAAGTTTTATTAGATGGAGAGTTAAAATGGTTTTGCAGATACACGCAGTATTATTCCATAGGACCTTTCTACAGTAAAATACGAGAAAAAAATCATTAGGTGGCTTTGATAAAAATTTACTGTGGAAAATGCCACATGAGATATAAAACCGCGATTATCTGCGAAACCGTTCACAATTTCCCTAAATATAAAAAATGTTTATTTTTTAACTCTTCATCTAATAAAAAAATAATATAAGGGTGTTACATTTAAAAAAAAAACAAGAAAAATTATTTTATATTTTAGAAAATTTGGCGTAGAATTTTGAACATCCTGTATGATTTACGATTACCATATTTATAGCAAAGTAAGTACAGACCCAATCATGACAGGTATTTTGCCATCAATTCCCAAATATCTCGAGAACCATTAATCGTGGCGATTTTTAGCAAGAGATCTTTTTTACGTAAAAACGTCGTAAATGTATATTTTTTACTTAGTAGTTTTATACAGGTACGAGCTGTTAAAGTTATGACTCTTTAAACCAGTTAAAAATATGTAGGTAGCGCCCTCTACAAGTAAGAGTCATATTGACATCAAAATCAATTTTCTCATGTCAAAAAACTCCCAGACACCAATTTTCATCAAAATATTGACGTTACTTCAGAAATTATTAGGGAAAAATCGAAATAAAAATGAAATTTCTACACCCTGTATCTCCGAAACTAAGCATTTTAAGACACGTTTATACGGAGTTTTTACTTATTTTTAGTTGCAGAATACAATACAGTTCGGGCTACCCTGTATATCGTAATCTCAAATTTTACAGGATGATCAAAATTTAATGTCGACCTTGGATATAACTTTTCTTTTAGATACAGAATTTAAACTTTTTTTTATATAAAGCGGTACGAATTTTTAATAGTTTTATATATTTTTATACGGGGTATTACACTTCATATTACTGTTTCAACAGTTAAATATAATACAAAAAATCATTGGGTGACTCTCATAAAAAATTAAGAGAAAAACGTGAACATATTTTTCTTAAATACAATATGATCGAATAGAACGACATCTACGATGGCTTTGAAATGAAGATCATTCTCAGTTTATATGAAAAATTATATGGAGAATGTCATCGACGTTTATTTCCAAGCCAACTGGCCGCCGTTTTTTTTTTTCGATCATACGGTACTTTCTTATACAGTTTAGATCTGACTTAAACAAAATCTCTAAGTCCTTTATTTTAAGACTTATACATCCTCGCTATTACAGGGCCCTGTATAAATCAAAATTCAATGACTATATTTGGTCCTTTACCCATCCAAAACAGAACCCAATATGTACCCACCTCTTGGACACCGGCGTCCTAGGTCTGTTGGGATACTGCGTCAGCAGCTGAATGGGGGGACAGATAGAAGATTGCGAGGCGATGCGGGGGAGCTCCATGGCTCGGTCGTGGGGCCCAGCATCCGCGGGGGATGCCGCATATCGGGCTGAGGGCGGTCTGGGGTTGCGACTAGCGTCGCGACGGTCATGTCGCTTCGGAGAACTGATGGACGTCGGTGGCGTTTTGGGGGACGCATTGGAGCGGGGAGCACGCGCAGAGCGTGTTGGGTTGCAGTAAGAGGGGCAAGAGGGAGGGGTTGCAGGTGGTGAAAGTGAGATTTGTTCGTATACAGGGTTTTAAAATAAAAACTAGACAATTGACAGTTTTTATTTCTTTATTACATTGCGCAAAATTGTTTACTTTTTCTGGCTAATTATTAGTACTATTGTACTACATTATGTCAAACTATGTTAATTTCCAAACTTTACTATAATTCTAGTCTCGAGTTTTTTTTGCTACTACATAAAACTACAAACGATTTTGAAGATTTTTAGACATTTGTTAAAACAATATTTTTTTTCTTTATTACATTGCGCACAATTGTTTACTTTTTCTGGCTAATTATTAGTACTACAAAAAAATTGAATTTACTACAATCAATTTCATCGTTTGGAGTTTGTATACAACTAAAGACATTATGTCAAACTATGTTAATTTCCAAATTTTACTATAATTCTCTAATTCCAAGAAACTTTCGTTGAGTTTTTTTGCTACTACATGAAACTACAAACGATTTTGAAGATTTCTAGACATTTGTTAAAACAATATTTTTTTTATTACATTGCGCACAATTGTTTACTTTTTCTGGCTAATTAATAGTACTCATACAAAAAATTGACAATCAACACTCAATGTAAAAAAAAACCTCATACCCAAGAAAGGAAAAAAAAATATATATGGATATAATTCTAAAGGTTTAAGAAAAAGAAAAAAACAATAAACTTTCCTATTAATATATAATATATATATATATATAATATAATTTGTAATTAAAATAAAAACTAGACAATTGACATATACAGGGTGGCGCCTCTCATACGCCGCGGAAGCTCCAAGGAGAACGACAGTTTACATTGAAATGAAATTTTGTGACCATATGTCGATTACTCCAGAGCACTTTTTAAAAATATAGTTAGTTAGAGTTCTACAGGGTGTCTTCAAAAAAAGTTACATATCAAAGTTCTGTTTTTTGTAATGGCACACCCCATATAGGGTGTCCCAGAAATAAGTGCAAGTATTTTAACTGCTAGTATAGTTCAACCCCAGAAAAACGCTTATGAGGTTTTTTTCTCAAAAAAAAAATTTGAAAATTCAAAATTTGTTGGAAATTTTTTTAGTTTTTAGTTAAAAACATAATTTCTTGATAATATGGCAACACAGGAATTATTAAATTTACAAGAAAGAAAATCCAGAAAAGACCTAGTGGTTCTTAAAATTTTTGCTAAAATATTTCTTTTTGGAAATTTTCAAAGTAAAATATTTTGGATTTATTTAAAAAACGATAAAGAGAAAATATGTTTCTTTTATCGAGATCTACCACCCCTTAAAATACTTGCATTTTTTGTAATGGAACACCCTATATATTAATTGATTTTCGGATTCTGGGAGAAAAATAAGGGTGAGTTTTATAAGAAAAGCATATGACTAAAATGTAAGGTTTTTGACATATTTAACATTTTCTAGAAATAAAGAACAATTTTTAAATTACAATGAAAGCTACCTAAATTTGAATTTACCCGGTATAGCCTAATATGTAGTTAAATTAACTATTTTACTTTAAATCAAATTAAAACTTGATCCAAAAAGTTATACAGGGTGAGACAAAATTAATATTGTACATTATGTACTCTTTTATTTTAAATAGAACACCCAGTATATTATTCCAATATTCAATGGAGAATTCATGTCTCTTCAAAATAATATTAAGGTTGCCTACCCCTCAAACAAAGATTTTCCTAGATATTTTCATTTACATGATTTGATCTGAGCAGATCATTATTATTTGATAAAATCTAGGTGGTTGTGATATGTCTGACGTTACTTCAACATACATGGCTGTCTAATTAGTCCAATTTTAACAACTAGTTGCAGTTTTATTTTGTCAGTTAAAAGAAAAAAAAATTCTCAGAAAAATTTCAAAACTACTTTTTTATGTTTACTTTAGATGGTCTATACTTCCTTTGCTATAAATATCCAAATCTTAAATCATACAGGGTGTTTAAAGTTGTACCCCAAAGTTTCTAAAATATAAAATATTTTTTTTTTTCTGTTTTTTAAACGGAACACTCTGTATATTATTGTTTTAAGTTTTATTAGATGGAAAGTTAAAATGGTTTTGCAGATACACGCAGTATTATTCCATAGGATCTTTCTACAGTAAAATACGAGAAAAAAATCATTAGGTGGCTTTGATAAAAATTTACTGTGGAAAATGCCACATGAGATATAAAACCGCGATTATCTGCGAAACCGTTCACAATTTCCCTAAATATAAAAAATGTTTATTTTTTAACTCTCCATCTAATAAAAAAATAATATAAGGGTGTTACATTTAAAAAAAAAACAAGAAAAATTATTTTATATTTTAGAAAATTTGGCGTAGAATTTTGAACATCCTGTATGATTTACGATTACCATATTTATAGCAAAGTAAGTACAGACCTACAGACCATCTAAAGTAACTACCTAATATAGTTTTGATTTCAAGACAGTTCTTGTATTTAAAAAAAAATTAAGAAAGTCTGAAAAATATATATTTTTTATTTATTTACTAATATCTCTGAAACTATCGAAATAAATTTTTGATTGCTGGAAATTTGATTCATAAAAAAAAGAAACAACAAAATTGCTTGATTTAACTTATTTTATTGAAGAAACAAAATTATTTGGTTTTATTCAATTGAAAGAAAAGAAATAATATGATGTATTTATTTTGTTCTATAAATTAAGGTAATAATATCAATGTAATCAAAGTTCAAAATCTACGATTATTAGTTTTCAAGCCAGTGCCCTTCTCATTGCTGCATTGATTTGGTTTTTGAACTGCCGATCTTTCTTCAGTTTGTCGTATAAACTCATGTTGTACCTATTCACAGCATTTCTGTCCAGTACCGCAAACACGGCTTGGAACTGGGGTACACTTTTAATTATTTCTATTGTGGATAAGTTTCGCAGCGATACAGGTTGAATAGAAGACCCTGAAATAGAAATACAGTTTGTTGTCATTGTGGTCCGAACTGTATTTCGGAAACTTCGGCAGAATATTCTGCATATAAAAATAAGTAAAAAAGTTCGTATAAATGTATGTCCTAAAATGTTTAGTTTCGGAGATACAGGGTGTAGAAGTTTCATTTTTATTTCGATTTTTTCCAAATAATTTCTGATGTAACGTCAATATTTGGATGAAAATATTTTTGACATGAGAAATTTGATTTTGATGTCAATATAACTCCTACTTGTAGAGGGCGCCACCTACATATTTTTAACTGGTTTGAAAACTAATAACTTTTCGTCCGTACCTTTATAAAACTACTGAGTAAAAAAATATACATTTAAGCCTAGATCATATATACTTACGTGGATAAATCAACGCCATACGTTTAGCATTAAAAAATATATCCCCAACATCACGACATGCCATTTTCAAACCTTCTTTATTGCACTTATGAACGTTCAATAGGTTTGTCTTTCTCGAGGACCTCACTTTACGCATGCGCATTAAAAGTGGCACGTATTTCCAAAATAATTACAATTTTATCCGGTTTAGAAAGTACAAATTATACATTGTTATGGAAACCAACTTTTCATTGTCATCGTATTGTCATAATCTTGTCATAATCATATGTCATAATGTTATTTCCATTGTGTAACGACATGGTAACGACGCTTGTTTTTTGCGTTTTTTTTTATTTTAAACATTGTATTAATTACTCTTTTATCGACCGCTTTTATATAGCCAAGGATGCAAGTGTGTTCAGTGAGAAGTTAATTTTAAGTTTGTGCAATTATATTTCTATTTTTTACTCGTTGGGTTTTAATTTTTGGGTAAATACTTGTAAAAATGACAAGAAAGTGTTTGGTGTGTTGAAATTATAATATAAATGTTCCCGAATTATCTTTTCACTGACAAGTAAAGTATTCAGTTGTTCTTTTATGTATATTAAACCACATGCATACTTTCTGGTTAGATTTCCTAAGAATATTGATATTCGTACGGAGTGGATAATTTATTTTTTATTTAATTTAATTTTTGTGACAGTAACATTCAATTATTGTTCAAATAGATGCATTTTACAAATTAAATTTTTAAAATTAATGTTCAAATTTGACGCGTGGACGATAGGTCCTCGACAAGGATAGATAGAGTAGAAGCACCGCGTGTGCAACAAAAAAAGAAGATAAATGGAAGTCGTTGATATGTTTGGGACAGTTTCCATAGTGATTTACTTATCCACGTAAGTATATATGATCTAGGCATTTAAGACGTTTTTATGTAAAAAATGTCTCTTGGTAAAAATCGCTGAGTGGTTCTCGCCGAGATATTTGGAATCTAAATTATCAATACCTGTCATCATTGACATAAATTAAACATAATAATATGTTGACTAAATAGTTATTTATACTGAAATCATAAATTTGAAATGCTTTTGTGCCAAAACTTCAACTAAAACTGTTTTATCATCATATTTTAGAAAAAAGTTTATGATTAATTTAAAAAAATAAAAAGTTCCAAAATTTATTATTTCAGTCATATACATACATAACTATCTACTCAACATGTTTATTTTTTGTCAATAATGGCATGTATTGACCATTTCCATTTTAAATATCTTGAGAACGGTTACTAACTTTTTTTAAGTAGAAAACGTCGTAAATGTATATTTTTTTTACTCGGTAGTTTGCGGCGACTTTTTAAAAGGTTAGGAAAAATTATAAAAAAAGATGGTACAAATTAAAAAGAAAACCGCAGCGTACGGTTGTTCTTCGTCTGGTGAACAATAGGTGTAGGTGCATTTATTGCGACACGACGGACGATCCAAAGAGATTTGATTTAATTTAAAATAGCAGAGATATCCTCATAAAAATTTAAATTCAAAATTATCAGGTGTTCATATTAATCGACGCCGTGGTAACCGTGCTTGTTGATTGTTTCCAGAGAGAAACTAATAACTAAAGTGAGAGGGCTTGTGGAATAGGGCATTTCGTAGACAAGTTTATTTTGTCACCGCGCATCCCAGACGCGCATAGCGTTTAGGCGGTCAAAAAAGGAAGTTTTCAACTTTGCAAGTTAAACATTTGACAGGATTAATTAGATTGTCAGTAGCTTTTTCTATTTCTTAGCTCTAGAAGGAGATAACTAAAATCTGTTGATAATCGGAGCAAATCGGAGTAATAAATTGTTTTTGACTGAATGTGCCTGTTCTTTTAGCTTGTCAGAAGAGAAGATTATTGTCATTATTGATTATTTCAAGATTATTTCAGATTCCACGATTAGTCGGCATTTTTGTAATTTTTGTTTTGTGGTTGAGACCCAGACAAAACGTTACGTTTAAAGGTAAGTTTTATCTCGGTAATTATTCTAACATACCTAATAATAATAGTAAGTGCACATAATAATCGTACATTGCTAATTTAATTTTTTTGTAAATTAAAACATCACATTCTTTTCTGATACCTATGGAACGACTAGGTATTATACCTGGTATTATTTCCAGTAATACAAATTATTTTCTTCAACTGCTAGGTTCTTGTTATAGAATAAAGACTATCAAAAACATTGAATACATACGGGATACCTACTGATACTCTGTGCGAGCTCCCAACCGTGCTTCCCTGTTCACTCCCAACCAAGTTAGATAAAAAAGATACTGAAGATTGCAGCCTTGAGTTGGAGTATGGCAAGGAGTCTGGAGTTAATAAATTATTATGTTCCTACACAGTATTTTATTTATAGGTTTCTAATGCTTTAAAGTTTAATAATAAATTTTCGTTGTCAACAAAATAATCTAAAAAAACTACGAAGATTTCTTATTATAAACTTGAAAGATTAATATTCGGTTCAAATATACAAATTTTAAATTTTTGGCGTTAGTATATAGGTATGAATGCAACCTACTATATCGATAATGCGCTCATAGTTCGGGTTAGACGCCAAAGGCCGCGCCACTAACACAGTCTTCAAAAATTAACGTTGATCGGTCTCTCTCACTTTAGTTATTAGTGTTCTCTCTGATTGTTTCCATTTTGACTTGTTATACGTTCAGTTTTAGCAAAAAGCAAAAAATAATATTAATATGGGTGATTCTGATTCTGAAAGTGTCCCTCGGATATTGAAGGCATTGCGCAAAACGTTGTCGATTCCCTACTTCCCGAAAAATCAAGACAAACATACGAGCAAGCCTATGTAAAACTTGAAGATTGGTGTAAAGGGAAAGGAATCAAGAATAGTAGTAACGAAAAGGTTCTCCTGGCATATTTTGAACATCTTTCAAAACATAGGAAGGCTTCATCACTTTGGGTATATTATTCCATGCTATGTTCAGTTATATCAGTGAAGAAAAATACAGATATTAGTAAGTAAGTCCATTTAATTGCATTTCTAAAAAGAAAAACAATAAATAAACGTATTTAGGTACGTTTTTGCTTGTTTCTTATTTTAAAATTTTCGTGTTATTATGAATTCATAATAGCACTAGTGCTATTATGAAAGCCATAATGACATCCAAATGACAATGTTAAATGTGTTATAATGACATTTTCGTAGATTAAATATATTTCCTGCTATGCGTTCCAATTGTACCAACATATGTCTTTGTAAATTAAAATAAACTACTTTGAAATTAAAACGACAGACACCTCTATCACTGTCAAGGATCTTGTCGTTGGACAGACAAATACTTACGCATTACGCCATCTTCAGGAGTGAGGGACGTTCCAGGTAGTAATTCTCCAATAGAAACACGATTTTCACTCCTGGTCATCATGTGGACGCTACCTGAATACACTCCAGCTAGAGCGTTGTTGACCAGTCTCGGAATTTTCAAAGGTGCGAAAATCTTGATGATGGAGAAAGCCATAGTGACAGCGTCGGGCACGTTGGGATCACTGAGAATTTTGAAGGCCTGTGCCACATTGACGTTTCGAATTTTTAAAGTTTTTTGGCCTCGCACGCTGTCCATCATCTCTATCAGTGGTGTCAAAATTTTTCTGAAATATAATTTAGTTAGAATATCTCATTGTCTTACTAGAAGAATATAGAATAAAAATGGGAAGCAATCGACTGTGAAGGGCATGGAGGGCCAAACCTCAACCGTGGAAGGGTGTATACCCTCGGAGAAAGAACGTCTGTTGTCAGAGGAAGATGGGAATAACCTTTTTCCCTCTATAAGAACAGGAAAGTCCCCATGTATGATCAGTTATAACTTATAACTCAAGAAAGGGGGACACAATATATTATCTTTAAGGTCGCAGTGATTAACCCCCTCTACTATACTTCCACTCTACTCTACAGAGTTCCGTTTTAAGTTGGTTTCCACTTGGGAAGCAGAACGGTTCTGGTTCAGTTAAATTTTGGCAATACCACAGTAGTTTATTTTTCCAGGGTGAGTTTCCTACGATGTTCTCTATGGGTATCTCGGAAACTACTGGGGATAGAGAGTCGGTTAAATGGGGAAAGAATTGCAGTTTTGTGGGGTCATAAATATGCGCCTTTCAGATTTTTGAAAAAATTCATGGCATTTAAAATAAAACAAATATTGGCTATTTTAAAAATTGTCTCTAATTCCATTATAATCTATTTTAGACAAAAAGTTTTCAGATAAAAGTTGTAGATAATCACATCCCTAATGAGTTTGTCTTCTCCGATTTTTTCTAAAGCCTGTCATTTTTGACATATTATATTTGACAAACATGTTTTGTTTTAATGGACACCATAGTTGGTCATGGCTTCATAAAAAGCGCCATTTTTAAGCTTTTCGGTGATATAAGCTATAATATGTTTTTTTCACAAAATTACTGAGTTATAGCCAATTCTTATCTTTCTTGACTAATTTCACTTAGCCATGGAAACAAGTTCAATCTTCGTTCTCTGAAATTTGAAACTGTCACATCCATACTTTGTAAATTAAAATAAACAAAATTTGTAAATATAAATTTTGCAAATTAAGAAAAGCGTGTAGATACTCGCGCATCAAAAGAGTGGTTCCAACATGACTTTCATTATGACCCCTTTCCCCATAATGAAAGAAATGTTAAAAATTATTTATATCATAATTATATAAACTCAGGGATAGTAAGAGGTGGACCAATTGCATGGGCCTCCTCCATCTCCTGACCTATCCATTTTAGATTTTTTATGCGGTATGGTTAACAATAAGGTTTACAAAAAAAATTATGAATTAAGAGAGGCACTCGAAGTGGCGGTACGAGAGAAGTTTAATTAAGTCGATCGGTCCTTCTGTGAGAATAGATGTAGTAATTCAGTTAGTGATATTATTTTTTTAAGTTTTAGTTTGTTTAATGTAAATTGTAAAGAACCGTTTAATAATATATTCTGACTTTTTCTAAGTGATAAATCATAACAGAATAAGAATACCATACAATCTAAGTGAAATTAGTCAAGAAAGATAAGAATTGGCTATAACTAAATTTAACTTTTCTAACATGTCTTGAAAACGGTTCTCTAAAAAACGTAACATTCACCGGTCAACGTATTTTAAATTACAGTTGGGGGTTGGAACCTTTGGTGGTACACAGCAAAATAAATCACTAAATCACCACAATACACCAAAACACTTTTATTTTTACACTGGACGCGCGTTTCGCTAACCATGTTAGCATCATCAGCAGATGATTAAAAACTTCAGAGTTTATGCCATGTTAGCATCATCAGATCTGATGATGCTAACATGGTTAGCGAAACGCGCGTCCAGTGTAAAAATAAAAGTGTTTTGGTGTATTGTGGTGATTTAGTGTTTTATTTTGCGGTCAACGTATTCTCGAAAATGTATGGTCAAGAAAAGTCGAACCAATAATCCTACACGCTTTGTAATTGTAAATATGTTATTTACAATCTTTGTTTTTTTTAATTTACAAAGTTTGGATGTGACAGCTTCACATGTCTGAGAGCAAAGACCAAAGCAAAGACAATTAAACTTGTTTCCGTGGCTAACTAAGTGAAATTGCTTAAATATTATAAGAATTGGCTATAACTCGTAATATTTCGAAGAAAATATATTATAGCTTATATAGCTAAAAAGCTTAAAAAATGTGCGCTTTTTATGAAGTCACGGCCAGTATCGTTTCCATTTAAAAAAACATATGTTTGTGTCATATGTCAAAAATGACAGGCTTTAGAAAAAAACGGAGGACACGCTCTCATTAAGGATGTGATTATCTACAACTTTTATCTGAAAACTTTTTGTCTAAAATAGCTTATAATGGAATAACTTTTTCAAAAATCTCAAAAGCGCATATTTATGACCCCACAAAACTGCAATTCTTTCCCCATTTAACCGACTCTCTATGTCCAGTAGTTTCTGAGATACCCATAGAGAACATCGTAGGAAACTCACCCTATGCTAAGGGGCTCAATAAAAAATTTTCGGAAACTAATTTTTACTTACTTTTTATTTTTCTCTGTGAAAAGCTTTTTTAGTCTCTCAGTACCTGCATAGATTTCTTGACCTACGGGTAAACGAGCTTTTGATCGTTCCCTGAAGAACAACAGAACCATGTCAGTGATATCGTTAACATGAGCAGATGTTTTGAGGGTGTCTTTCAGAAGTTGTTCGACAATATGAGAGACGATGGTGAATACGCCTAAAAGAAAGCTAGTTTTTAATTAGATTAAACTTCCAGTTGAGGTTGGAACCTTAGGCTAAGAACATAGTGGAGCGACGCGACGAGCAAAACAAACCTGTGAAGACATGTATGTGTGAACATAGTAAAGCGATCTGCTCGAGCGGTTAGATCGAGCGGCGAGATCGATTCAAATAATTTTGTTTTCGTCGCTCTGTTGCGCTGTAGAAAACGATGAATTCCCAAAAATTAATAGATTTAGTATTTGTAAGAGAGATTTTATGGGATCAGAAAGATAGTAATCGCCATAACCGGTACATTTTAGATAAGTTATGAGATGAAGTGGCAACAAATTTTTGTAAACTCCGGTTTTTGAAAATTTCATGTTCACCACACCTTCTAGTTTGTTGGTTTTGAATCAACCAAATGTTTGTGACACTACTGCCAGAATTTTAACCACTGTTAACATTTTAAATTATCAATAAGCAAATGAAAATAATAAATTTGCACAAGTATCCTGCTATTCTTCGCCGTTCTACTATGTTTCAGCACCTCCAGGCTTGCTCGACGCGGTATCGCGCTACTTGCTCGCCGCTCCACTATGTTCTTAGCCTTAGACGTTACAAACGCGAAATAAAAAGAAATAAGATTATATTAGGGATGTAGTTAATAAGTATATTGGTTATGCCTTTTTATTAGTTGATGGAATAATTAGGAAACGTAGGTATAGGTATAGTATAGGTTATCATTGAAAACTTCCCAATATGTCGGACTTCAGTATGGAGGACTTAAGAAACGAACATATCTAGACTGGCTATAAAATACAATAGATTAGATATATCTGACTAAAAAATACTTTAACCCTTTACAGGGCAGTTAAGAGTTGATAATTGTATTGATAATTGTATTTGTTTATTCTTACCTGACGAACCTTGCAGGCTCATTCCACCCAGACCTGCTATGATTCGCATACTAATTATAGGAGATTGACCCATAAATGATATGATATTGACCAATTGAGTTTTCCTGGCCAGTTCGGACATGATAAAATTGAAGGACTCCAAACCATTCAGCGTTCCTATCATTTTTCCTAAAGGAATTCTGTAATAAAAATTTATAAATAATCTCTTTTTTATCTAGACGTAGCGTAATTCAACATAAAACGTACATAAAAATAGCTGTAAATTTTTATCATTTTTATTGCTCTTCTGCTCTTGGAAAACCAATATTTATTTTTTGCATAAGTTGTTCTTAACTAAAAGATGTTTAGAGATCTGCTGGATATAACGGGTGTCTCTCAAAAGTGGCTCGCCCCTTTAACTTTTTATTTTTTCTGAGCTTGCCTGATTGCCACTGATTGCCACTGATTGCACTGAAAGGTATTGAACAAGATATATCTGACAAACTAAAACGTTTGTATGTCAGAAAGTGGATAACTAGAAGAGAATCGTTGAGAGCTTCAAATGAAATTTTGAATAATAATATGGAAATACAAATGAAATAATTTTGAAATAGTTATAAATAGAAGATCCATAAATCCTGGAATATTTAATCTCTTTCTCCAAATTATCATATGCAGCTTATTTAGCTTGCCTGATTGCCACTGATTGCCACTGATTGCACTGAAAGGTATTGAACAAGATATATCTGACAAACTAAAATGTTTGTATGTCAGAAAGTGGATAACTAGAAGAGAATCGTTGAGAGCTTCAAATGAAATTTTGAATAATAATATGGAAATGCAAATGAAATAATTTTGAAATAGTTATAAATAGAAGATCCATAAATCCTGGAATATTTAATCTCTTTCTCCAAATTATCATATGCAGCTTATTGAGCTTGCCTGATTGCCACTGATTGCCACTGATTGCCACTGATTGCACTGAAAGGTATTGAACAAGATATATCTGACAAACTAAAACGTTTGTATGTCAGAAAGTGGATAACTAGAAGAGAATCGTTGAGAGCTTCAAATGAAAGTTTGAATAATAATATGGAAATACAAATGAAATAATTTTGAAATAGTTATAAATAGAAGATCCATAAATCCTGGAATATTTCATCTCTTTCTCCAAATTATCATATGCAGCTTATTTAGCTTGCCTTATTGCCACTGATTGCACTGAAACGTATTGAACAAAATATATCTGACAAACTAAAACGTTTGTATGTCAGAAAGTGGATAACTAGAAGAGAATCGTTGAGAGCTTCAAATGAAATTTTGAATAATAATATGGAAATACAAATGAAATAATTTTGAAATAGTTATAAATAGAAGATCCATAAATCCTGGAATATTTAATCTCTTTCTCCAAATTATCATATGCAGCTTATTTAGCTTGCCTGATTGCCACTGATTGCCACTGATTGCCACTGAAGGTACTGAAGGTATTGAAGATATATCTGACAAACTAAAATGTTTGTATGTCAGAAAGTGGATAACTAGAAGAGAATCGTTGAGAGCTTCAAATGAAAGTTTGAATAATAATATGGAAATACAAATGAAATAATTTTGAAATAGTTATAAATAGAAGATCCATAAATCCTGGAATATTTCATCTCTTTCTCCAAATTATCATATGCAGCTTATTTAGCTTGCCTGATTGCCACTGATTGCCACTGATTGCACTGAAAGGTATTGAACAAAATATATCTGACAAACTAAAACGTTTGTATGTCAGAAAGTGGATAACTAGAAGAGAATCGTTGAGAGCTTCAAATGAAATTTTGAATAATAATATGGAAATACAAATGAAATAATTTTGAAATAGTTATAAATAGAAGATCCATAAATCCTGGAATATTTAATCTCTTTCTCCAAATTATCATATGCAGCTTATTTAGCTTGCCTGATTGCCACTGATTGCCACTGATTGCACTGAAAGGTATTGAACAAAATATATCTGACAAATTAAAACGTTTGTATGTCAGAAAGTGGATAACTAGAAGAGAATCGTTGAGAGCTTCAAATAAAATTTTGAATAATAATATGGAAATACAAATGAAATAATTTTGAAATAGTTATAAACAGAAGATCCATAAATCCTGGAATATTTAATCTCTTTCTCCAAATTATCATATGCAGCTTATTTAGCTTGCCTGATTGCCACTGATTGCACTGAAAGGTATTGAACAAGATATATCTGACAAACTAAAACGTTTGTATATCAGAAAGTGGATAACTAGAAGAGAATCGTTGAGAGCTTTAAATGAAATTTTGAATAATAATATGGAAATACAAATGAAATAATTTTGAAATAGTTATAAATAGAAGATCCATAAATCCTGGAATATTTAATCTCTTTCTCCAAATTATCATATGCAGCTTATTTAGCTTGTCTGATTGCCACTGATTGCCACTGATTGCACAGAAAGGTATTGAACAAGATATATCTGACAAACTATAACGTTTGTATGTCAGAAAGTGGATAACTAGAAGAGAATCGTTGAGAGCTTTAAATGAAAGTTTGAATAATAATATGGAAATACAAATGAAATAATTTTGAAATAGTTATAAATAGAAGATCCATAAATCCTGGAATATTTAATCTCTTTCTCCAAATTATCATATGCAGCTTATTGAGCTTGCCTGATTGCCACTGATTGCCACTGATTGCACTGAAAGGTATTGAACAAGATATATCTGACAAACTAAAACGTTTGTATGTCAGAAAGTGGATAACTAGAAGAAAATCGTTGAGAGCTTCAAATGAAATTTTGAATAATAATATGGAAATATACAAATGAAATAATTTTGAAATAGTTATAAATAGAAGATCCATAAATCCTGGAATATTTAATCTCTTTCTCCAAATTATCATATGCAGCTTATTTAGCTTGCCTGATTACCACTAAAGACCCGTTTTGATTTTTAGGATCACAGAAACAAATTTAACCATATTTTCATATACCCGGTTCGTCTCAAAAGTGGCTTCTCACCCCTATAACTTTTTTTATTTTTTCAGATTACAGAACGAGATTTGGTATGTTAGTATATGACATAAATTAGGATTGATTTACGTATTCAATTATTTTCGGTCACTTCCTGTTTCACCGCAATCACTACAACTTTTGATTTTTAAATGACACCCTCGGTACTTTATTTGATAGAAAATTACACTCTGATTAGAATGACATCATATGTTAATTTTTGACATTCTCGAGTATGGTTTATTTTCGACAGTTTGACTCAAAATACCAAGTGTATGGTATCAAATAATTCATAAAAAAAGCTTTTTCGAAATATGCTAATGAGCCACCCTCGTTCTGTTTGAAAAAATTGATATGTGATTAAAAATACGATTTGGGTATCTTTTAACCGGTCAGAACAAGACTAAAAGCATTAGATGATCAAATTTATTTTTCCAAGGCTCCTTGATTAAAGATTAGTGTTTTTAACACAACCATGGCACTATAGATTGAAATTTAAAATACAATTTTGTTTTAAGCGAAAATGTTAAAAGTTGACATATGATATCTACTAATATACCAAATTTAGTTTTTTTATCTAAAAAAATAAAAAAGTTATAAGCGTGAGCCACTTTTGAATTGCACCCGGTATATTTTTATATTTTTATTTGAAGCCGTATAGAAATTTGAAAAAGTATAAAAAGTGTTTCCTCTTGTAACTATCGATAACATACCTTATATTCAGAGAAGTTAATTTCCGTAATCCACACCTCGTAGCAAACATACTAAAAGTTCTGATGACTTCCCAGATAGCCAACGCGTCAGATTTCAACACTAACCAGCCGCCGGTATGTAAATCGATGAATCGGGATATCATGAATCTGACCAAGTGTTCTGCTTCATCAAACAACTTCATGGTACCCGCAACAACTTGACCTGAACCTAATAACATCCGCCAGATTAAAGTTAGATGGTATAGAGTAGGAGCACTCCAAAATAATGAAATATCATATAATATTGATATACAGGGTGTTCCAATATTCCCTGGACATAGAACTAGGTACTACGTATTTTTGGAATCAAAATAAGTTCATTGGACACAATTTACCTCTATACAAAAGTACTTCGTTTATGTGTTAAGACTTTAAAAAAATAAACACATTTTTTCAGATATTTTAAGGATCGCTATTCCGATTTGACTGAAATTTTGGGTGTCTATGTTTTGCTAAGCGCTTTAATATTTTTCTTTCACAAAAATCAAGAATGTACGGGAAGGGTGAAAACTAAACCATCTTTACATAAATTTTAGTATAAATATTTTCAAACTTAACTAACGACCAGGGGTGGATGGGGAAGTGGAAACCGGCCCGGGAATAACAGGCAACCCCACCGAATCCACAAAAACAAAATGACCATAACGAAGAAACATATTTTATTTATTAATATACAGGGTGTCCCAGAAATTAGTGCAAGTATTTTAACTGGTAGTATATTTCGGCTTCAGAAACACGCCTATGAGTTTTTTTTGCGAAGATTTTTAATATTTTGAAAAAAAATTTGGAATTTTTTTTATTTTTAAGTACTTAAAAAAACATAATTTCTTGATAATATGGCAACGTAGGTAGTAGATTAAATTTACATGAAAGAAAATCCGGAAAACATCCAGAGGTTCTCAAAATTTAAGCAAAAAAGCATTTTTTGTTTAAATTTTCAAAGTAAAATAACTCGGTTATTTTGTACTTATTACATATCTATATCTACTTTTTGAAGCCCCCTGCATATTTTAATTTTAGTGTAAACAATTTAAAAGCTAGCAAACGACTTTCATATAACTCTATATTCTTTCTTTCTTTCTTTCTTTTTGCATCTTTATACCAAAAGGTACGTTTTTTCGTTAAGCGTAAATTATTTATACCTATATAAGAATTTCTAAACATGTGACATGTGAATATTTTCCAGTATTGGTTAACTTTTTGTTATTTTGTTTATTTGTTTTTTCATTAGTTTTATTTTTCATGTTAATTTTACACTTTTATATGTTTTTACGTGTTTTTTGTTTCTTCTTTATGCGTAAATTTTTTGTTTTTATTTAGGAATTACTAAACATGTAACTATTTGCAATATTGGTACTTATTGTTCAGTCATAGTTAACTATTTGTTATTTTTGTATATCGTTTGTTTTTCGTTAGTTTTGTCTATTTTTAACACATTTATTGTTTATCTATATGTTGTTTTTATACCATATGTTATGTTTCTTCGTTATGCCTTATTTTTTTTTTGTTTTTATGTGGAAATTACCAAACATGTTACTATTTTTATTTTAATCGGCAGTATTATTCTTCAATGTTAGTTCCCTTTTTAATATTTTTGTATGGTTTAATTTCATCAGTTTTTTCCATGTTTGACACTTTTTCTGTTTATTATGTTGTAAAATAAAAAAAAACATCATAATTTTCAAAGATATTTAAACTCAATTTTTGATTTTCTTAAAGCAATTTTTAGATATAAATATAGAAAACAATATTTTGTTTTTATAAGTTAATAGGGGATGGGCGCTCGTTACAGTTAGCACCGGGCGGAAAAGTTGCTTAAACCGGCACTGGATAGGGAGTAGTAAATATAAAAACGTAGATCTTACGCATGCACACCTTATATAATACAGCAAAGATTTTTATACATCAGTGTTAAAATGGTTTACAGGCAATAAACTTCTTCTTAATTCTGACAAGACAAACGTTATATTTTTCAAGACCAAACAGTCGAGACTACCAAATATTGATTATTTAGATTTAGCAAACAATCGAGTACTGTCGTCTGAGAATACAAAATTTCTTAGGCTGTATATTAATGAAAATTTAGATTAGTCGTTTCACGCTAATACATTGTTAAAAAAACTATACTCAATGAGTTAGTAGTAAATATATGATCAACAAACTTATATATTATGTACTAGCGTGTACCAGCGACTTCGTTCGCGTCGAATTAATCATTTGTAATGGTGATGATAAAGCAAAGCAAGAATTTCCATTAACATACAAACTGGAACCAAACCAAACCAAAAACGGTAAAGGGAAAAAATGTTTCTTTTGACCAAATCTACCCCTTCAAAATACTTGCACTTATTTCTGGGACACCCTATATAAGTAAGGCTGATTTTCGCTCGGGCGAAAAAATCTCTTTTGACTCCGATTTTCTGAAATTTTGAAATTGTCTTGATCAAAATTTTTATAAAGATCAATATCAGATCGGACATATGTATTTTTACTACAAAATAGCTCAGTTTCACAGAGTTCTACTGTTTTATTTCCATTATCGATGCTAATTTGATCTTGAATTTGCTATGATTTTCAATCACGATTTTGAGAAACTTTTTGAGACTTTCTGATTCATTCACTTCAGCTGGCCCAATCCTCTGTGAAATACATTATTTTTAGCTTTTCAGGTAAACACATAGTAGAAAGAAATTCTCTCTTTTCTGGTACAGCAGCAGCCTCGTCGTGTATACGTGTTTTAATTTTTGGTATAATTCTCATCATGTAATTTTTACTCGTTTCTACATTTGGCATCTTGTATGATAATGCCATGACTTAAACGAAAAAAAATCTAGGCAATACCTAGGCAGTGGATATAAATGTGTTCTGAGGTAGTTGCTATGTTACGGTCCATAATAAAATATTTGGATTTTGGAGACATTAATATTTTATTATCTAATCTAGTTTACATCTTATTTAACTCTTCTCTGCTGTTTCACTAATTTTTAGTAAAATTGTTCTAGCAACATTTAAAACAACAACTTAGATTTAACTTTTAGTTCTCAGACTTGGCTTTTAGTCTGTCCCCAATTCAAACCAAGCCATCTTCATGTTTTCCCTCAACCGCAGAGTTCGCGTCAAATTCGCCTACCTTTGAGAGGAGCTCGAAAAGTATTGCACCGAGGCCCCAGTTGTCAAAGCTACGCTACCATATTTATAGTATACACTATCGAGACTATTTAGATGAAATTCACTCTTTTTTCTGCTGTACCCCTGCCGGAGTCTTTATTAATTATTAATAAAAGAATAGTGGTAAATCTATACAGGATGAGTCTTAAATAAGTGCAAATATTTTCAGGGGTGGTATATTTCGACCCCAGGAACACGCGTCTATGAAGTTTTTGCAAAAAAAAGTTGTTTCACCGCAAATGTTCCCACGGTATATTTTCTTAATCTTTGATATTACGGCACAAAAAGAGATGGAAATACAGAAAAATTTCGGTGACCTTTTTTTTAAATATAAATCAATTTTTTTAAATAATTTTCAACTTTAATAACTCTGTTATTTTGGACTTATTTGAAACACGGTAAAGAGAATGTCATAATATGTTTCTTTTATTCATATCTGCCAGCCCTGAAAATATTTGCACAAAGCAGCACAAATAAAGTGCACTTACAGACTCACCTTGTATAATAAAACATTTCAAACGGAACAACAAACAGATGTTTATTAAAATTATAAGTGTCTCAGAGAAAGACATCTAACAATAGTTATTTTACAAATTGGTATTTATGTTTAAAAGCAACTGCCGATTATATTGATCTAATTGATTAGTTACTTAGGCAGTCACTAAGAATCTTACGTAACTTTAGTTAGAAGATTAACCATTTAGTTTTTGATAAATCAATCTTTTTTTTTGAGCTCTGATTGGGATCGGCCCACCGGTCCATCTTCCTACCGGCCCACCGGGAATTTTCCCGTTTTCCCAGATGGCCCATCCACCCCTGCCAACGACCAATTTTTTTTCGTAAAACGGACCTTCTACTATTTACTACATTTTTTGTCTCTTGTTAAAAGAAAACACAGCGCATGTTTTTTTGAGGAAAAAGTTATTTTTCCGAAGCTGATTTCCAAAAAATGTTTTTTGTCACATCAAGCTATAGAGGCGCATAAAATCTATTATCTATACTAATATATAAAATCCTTAAGTGACTGACATACTGATTAATCACGATCCTGCTCAAATCACTCAACGTAAGAAGCTCAATTTTGGCATACAGGTTGATTCTAGGGTGTAGAGGTTCGATAAGAAGGGATTTTTCTAAATTCCAGTTCCAAGGGGGCGAATCAAGCCCTCAAATATTACAATATTTTTTATTTAAAAAAAAACGGTCAAACTTCCGAAAAAACGCTTAAACACGTATATTTTTTTTTTACGAAAAATCTGGTCATTGATTAATCACGATCCTGCTTAAAGCGCTTGACGTAAAAAGCTGATTTTTGGAAAACAGATTGACTTTAGGGTGTAGAGGTTCGATAAGAAGGGATTTTTCGAAACTCGGATTCTAAGGGGGTGAAACTATCCCTCAAATATAAAAATATGTTTTTATTTAAAAACCGGTGAGTTTTTCGTTTTTCGGAAAATATCTTAAACATGTATATTTTATTTTGTTGCTTTACATATTTTAAGATTTTTATAAATTTATACAGGGTGTTTCATAAAATATGACCATTGAGTAATCACGATTCTGCTTAAACTGCTTGACGTTTAAAGCTGATTTTTGGCAAACGGATTGACTGTGGGGGTGTAAAGGTTCGATAAGAGGGGTTTCTCGAATCTCAAATTCCAAGAGGGTGAAACGCCCCTCAAATATTACAATATTTGTTATTTAAAAAACGGTTAGTCTTTCGGGAAAACGCTTGGACAAGCATAATTTATTTTTTTTTACATATTTTGAAATTTTTTAAAAAATCATACAGTCCAATACATTGGACTGTATGATTTTTGTTTGAGGAATAATACATTCCAAAAAGTTGGGTGATTTCTTAACCACGATTCTGCTTAAACTGCTTGACGTAAAAAGCTTATTTTTGGCAAACGGATTTTTCGAAAGTCAAATTCCCTCAAATATTACCAATTTATATAATAATATCGCCATATTGTTTTTTCTCATGCTGACATAAATGTGAGAAAATTTTATCCAGTTTGTATGTTAATGGAAATTCTTGCTTTGCTTTATTATCACCATTACAAATGATTAATTTGATGCGAACGAAGTCGCTGGTACACTCTAGTGCTCTAATAATCTAGTTGGCAAAAATATGGAATTTTATGTTAGTATCACATAGTAATAGCTTGACAATAAGTTTCATAAAAAGTTTAAAAAATTAATAAATTTTAAATTAATTAACGTTCGGGTTTATTTTTTTATTGATGCCCTCTAACGGACAAACGAAGCACTTTTGTATAAAGACAAATTATGTGCAATTAACTTATTGTGATTCAAAAAATACATAGTTCTTTTATGTTCTTGGAAAAATAAATTCTCCAAAAATGTTTTTCTCGAAAATTATGCTATGTGGCGCTTTTTACAAGAGACAAAAAATGAAGTAAATACTATAGAGGGACCATTTTACGAAAAGAAAATCTGTCATCGGTGAAGTTGAAAAATATTTAGGTACACTAAAATTTATGTAGGGGTGGGGGTAGTTTTCGTCCTTTCCGTACTTTTTCTTGATTTTTGAGAAAGTAAAATTTTAAAGCAAAACAAAGTCACCCAAAAGCTCATTCAAATCGGAATAACGGTTCTTAAAATATCTAAAAAAGATGTTGAGTTAGGTTAGGTTGAGTTGACCGACTAACCCTTGCGGTATAATTGACCTCAAGTCCAAGGAAGCAATAGAGAAAGAGGAATATATTCTCTATTATAGAGTCAGGAAAACACCGGTATCAGGTCTAAGGAGAGTCCAAGTTAAAGAGGTGGAGAAAATGTAGACAGATCCTCCAGCCTCCACCTTACGGGTACTTCAGCCGGGGACAAGCTCCTCGACTGTGAAAGGTATGGAGGGGTAAACCCCAATCGTGGAAGGGTGTATAACCTCTTAGAAGATAGATGCCCACTCCTCGGAGGATGAATATCTGTTGTCAGAGGAGGATGGGAAATACCCTGTCCCCCTTACAACAGGAAGATCCCCATGCATGATGTGTTATGGACTATATGATGAGCTATAACTCAAGAGAGGGGGACACAATTGATCTTTAAGGTCTCCCCCGCTTACTCATTCTACATAACTCTGATTGGTAAACCCTATTAATCTTTATTTCAAAGAATAATTCGAAATCTCAAAATTAAAGACAACGACAGTCTAAGAAGATATCTTGTTTATAATTTACACACCACCATATTATTATATACCACTTTCAAAAGGACATTTAAAAAGTCAACAAGTTTGAATGTTCAACTAGTCAAGTTCGAACAGAAATGTCATTTCAACGCTTACTGGGATATAACTTTAAGTTGATTACCCGGTATTGTATTATTGTATACATACCTATAGTAGTTTGGGCATAACTTTGAAATGTCTTTCCAAGTGTTTTAAATACGTATAATATAAGTTGTTCGACCTCTATGTTCTTACTTGAGGTTTTTACTGAAAAATAAATAAATATAGGCAAATATTTCTTGGACTGATTTTTCTTTTGGTAACAGGTTAGTTACAAAATTTCGTTTTTTACATACTCGTTAATAAACCGTAATAAAATATGTTCATAAATGCCATTTTTTTTTCGTTTAAGGCTGTATTCTGTTTTCTACTCGGTTTTCTACCTTGTCATGGCTTTCTGTCCCATTTCAATGTTTTGTCTAAAATTTTGATTATCATGGAACACGGTTTCTAAAAATGTCAGATATCAAAAAAAATCTTGTCCGGGCTGTTTAAAAGCTGTTTTGCAAATTATTTTTTTACATTAAATATCATTGAAAAGATGAATCAAACGTGAAATAAAAGTTTTATAAGCGATACCGAATTAACTTTTAGTTACGTCATCGAGGGCACGATTATTAAATTCATTGTTGTCATCCATGGACGTATTCGACGTCGGACTGTCTAACTGTAATTTTGGACGTAGAAGCTAGTGAGGTTCCTCACTAAGAATACTTATATTGGAGCGTTTTATGAGTGGTTGCCATATTGTTGAAATTTCTATATACATACATACATACAGCCATTACTCGCTGACAAGTATTTGACACGCATCAGAAAATGGTCACGCAAGGCGTTTTCTTTCATGAACTTTTCTGTGACTGAAAAACCCGATACGTGATGTTATGAGCCTACCGCAAATCTCATTGCTTTGTTGCCTCTTTACTTTTTGGTTGTCGCTGTTAACTGAGTTTACAATTCTTCTCCATTGAGTTCTATTGTAAGCTGATTCCTCCCACACATTCTGCATGTTAATCCCCTTTAAGTATTTGTGGAAAATGTCTTTGTACCTTTTGAGTTGTCCACCCGGCCTCCTCTTACCGTCTACAAGCTCACCGTAAAAAAGAGATTTCGGTATGCGGTTTTCTTGCATTCTGCATACGTGACCAGGCCATCTTAAGCGGGATTTTGTAACCATGACCTCAATACTCTCGCAGTTAGCTTTTTCAAGTCGTCTGTTGCAACTTGTTTAATGCGTTCATGTGTCGGCGGTACGGCACCCAGGTTTCGCTCCCATATAAGATGGTGGGGATTACAATTGCTCGATACACTGCAAGTTTTGTTTTTGTACTTAAATCATGATTGTAGAAAACCCTGTCTTTTAATTTCCAGAATGCTCTTGAGGCGCTGCTAATCCTCTACTGTATTTCAGAGTCGATATTGGCCTTTTCCGAAATCAAACTGCCAATAGTTCTTCCAATAGTTCTTCTCCGATTTTTATAACATTGTTGTGATCTTCCGGGGGAGTGCACACGATATTGGCTTTGTCGATATTTAGCTTAAGGCCCAAAGCCTCGTATGCTCAGGTATATTTGTTTACCATTTCTTGTAATTGTTGTAACGTGTTTGCAACTAGAGCGCAGTCATCAGCGTATTGAAGTTCTGTGATGAATATTGTACGTGTTTTTGCCCTGAGTCTTTTTATGTTGAACAGACCGCCGTCGTATCTGTATCTAATGCCCAATCCTCTCTCCTGCAGCTTGCTGTCCACTATAATGGAGAGCGCTGCCAAGAATATGTTGAATAGGAGAGGCGCTAAGACACATCTCTGCCTAACTCCTGTATTTGTTAGGAAGGGATCGCTCAGAGATCCATGATGGTGACACTCTTGACTTGTTGTTGTTATGGAGGCTTTTACACAGTGTAAGAAATTTGTTGGGTACTCCGAACTTTTCCATAATTGCCCAAAGTGCATCCCTCTTCACAGAGTCGAAGGCTTTTGTTAAGTCGATGAATGCAACATAAAGTTTAGACTGCTGCTCTTTTACTTTTTCCTGTAGTTAGCGGATGGAAAATATGGAATCGACGGTGCCACGGTTGGTGCGAAACCCCGTTTGCGATTCTGGGAGGATTTTTTCTATATGTGGGTGCGGGCGGTGAAATTTTTATACTTGGATTGCTAAAGACTTTTTATTATTGTTAGAAAAGAATACGGCCTCTTTATATATGCGCTTTTTCCAGTGGGGAACTGGAACTGGAACTTTTCTTTGTGGACACCCGGGCTTCCGACCATTTTATGTTTTGGTGCTTGGACCACACATGATCTGCAATGCCCGACTTCATTGTTTCACCTCTTTGCTTTTCTTGGTTTGATGATTCCGGTTTTTTTTTGTTAGGAAACTCTTTGGAGTAGTCGTAGACTTAAAAACAGTTTTAATTTTATACTGCTTAGCTATTCGCCTGATAATAGGTACATCAGTAGTTTTAGGTTTTAGTTCACATTTGATAACGGTAAGTGATACTTCTGACCGAAACGTTGTGTAAGCAAAATAAATAAAGATAATGGAAGTCCGAAATTCTTTTAGTTTTAGTAATAATGGAAATTTCATGGAAATTCTTTTAGTTTTAGTAATAATGGAAATTTCATGGAAAACAGAAAAACGGAACAGAAAACCATAACCAAATTAAGGTTGTATTCCGTTGAATACAGCCTTAATGTATTCAGTGTTAAAATCAAATTAATATTTCAGTTAAGCCGAAAGAAATATTCATTATTTTATGAGTATGTGAGTTTTGTGAATTATAATATGTGTACTGTAGCCAAAGTCAAATTTAGAATATGAAAACCAACGAAATGACTCTCTGTGCAACAATTTCGTTATCACTCTATATTTGGCTCTTATTATTTAGTTATTCTTATTAATTAACTTACCTCTGCTGTCTCGGTTAAATTTGAAAACATTTTGTGTATTATTGTTATAAGTTTCTTGCACTTTGTAATTTGCGATTATTTCAAATAATGATGCTGTGGAAACTGGTGGACTAAAAGAATATAAAATTAAAAAAAAAATCTAAAACGATGTTACCGAAGAAAAATCAAACATAAAATCGAATAAAAATAAATAGCAATAGACTATAACATATAACAGAGGAAAAAAAGTCGTCAGAGTTGTCTTGGAGAAGGAGATCGCTGTCAATTTATATGTAAAATTATTTGGTATATGCCATAAATTCTCATTTCGAAGCCAACTTGACACCGTTTTCTACGGTGGTTCGAGTTGAGTACTCATAATTTTAATAATTACTAATTGATTATTACCTCTCTATGTAAGTTCCCGTATTAAGATAACCATTCAATATAACAACATGTCCTTTTGAACCGTTAATCACAACTGCCTTTCTTCCCATACAATCCAACACTATAGCTGTGTTTGCTGTTGAGTTTATTACTGCTATTTGGTAAGGTGCCGACTGTAAAAAAAAGAAGTTAAAACCATGTAGTCACCTTAATGTGAAGCGAATCACAGTATTGACATTTTAAGGACATATGAGTCGTATTAGGTTTCAGCCTTTAGCGATATAATAAAGACGGTCCTACACGATGTGGCGAACACCTTCAAACGTTGGACGCACAGCATTTGCCACATCGTGTGGGAGCGCAGAAATCCATGTGTCGAACGTTCGAAGCAAGTTTTTAGTTAAAATGGAATGCAATAATCAAATGATAATGGAATTTATTTCGATTTACGAGAAATATCCTATTATATGGAATCCCAGGCATTCTTTTTCTTTTGCTTCTGTTGTTTAGTTCTTTTGCTTCTTAACAGTTTGGCACAATTTAAAACTATCATACCAGCGGCAATCCCAGCTCTTAATATATTATCCATATCTGCTCAAGCCAAGAGTACGCAGACACTGAGTTAATTTTTACAAATGTAGCGCCAGGTTTGCGTCCAACGTTGGAACGAACGTTCGAAGCATCGTATAGGAGACACATTCGCCAATTGTAATATTGTCGAAAAGTGTGTCAAGTGTTGGTTCGAACGTTCGTTCGAACGTTGGACGCATCGTGTAGGACCGTCTTAAGAAACTAGCTTTTTCCCGCGACTTCGTCCGCGTATATATCTCGAATTGTCCATGAATTTCCTTTTTTTTTCATGCACATATTTTGAATAATCGTTTACCCTTTTATGTATAGACCTAGTGAGCCTTACAAATTGCACTAATTAAACTATGTTTCGAAAATTAATAGTTTTAAAGCTATTTTAGATGAAAGTATTGTATAACCTTTTAAAAAATAGATTTTTCATTTTTCACTTAAACTTTATAAAAACCGTCAATATAACAATTTTAAAAGCATTTTTATCCTCTTTATACGTTATTATGTATTTACAAAAATCTTAAAATATAAAAACCTTTTTTTATTTTTTCTTCCTCTGTATATGACTTTACGACAAACTTTGTTTACAAAAAATATAACTTATACAGTTCTGAAATAAACAATTTTAATAATTCTGAAAATTAGTATTTCAAAGAAGTTCTATTTTGGCCTCAAAATTATTTTGTAAACTTGTTTTTTACACTTTTTTCTGTAGGTATCCCTCCATTTATTGAGACTAATTATTATACAGGGTAATCCAGAAATAAGTGCAAGTATTTTAACTGGTAGTATAGTTCAACCCCAGAAACAAGCCTATGAGGTTTTTTTCGCAAAAAAAAAATTGAAAATTCGAAATTTTTTGAAAAATTTTCTGGAAGTTTTTTAGTTTTTAGTTAAAAACATAATTTCTTGATAATATGGCAACATAGGTATTAAATTAAATTTACAAGAAAGAAAATCCAGAAAAGATCCAGTGGTTCTCAAAATTTTAGCAAAAAATCATTTTTTTTTGAAATTTTCAAAGTAAAATAATTCCGTTATTTTGGACTTATTTGAAAAACGATAAAGAGAAAATATGTTTCTTTTATCGAGATCTACCATCCCTTAAAATACTTGCACTTATTTCTGCGACACCCTGTATATGATTGGATAGAGTTTTTAATCTACCCTGTTTAATCTAACTGACACACCACTGACAATGACAAATAATTGATTTCTGAAGGTATCGTGTGCTAGGTGTTTCTCAAGTATGTTTTAATATTTGTTGATTTTACATAAAGAAATAGCTATTAAACAATGTAAAAATAGATAAACAATCTGCAAATACAGGGTTGCTGTTTGCTGTTATGTATGGAAACCGTCGATTATTAGGTAAAATATAGGAGGTACCGCAAAAAGTTAAACACAAAAGTTATAGGATTTTTAAATATCTATTAGCGAGTAATACATTTAAGTATACAGGGTCGGTCATAAAGTCGTGGCACATCAAAGTTTCATTTCTTTAAATAGTATATTACTGCATATTTCAATTCTTCCTTCAATTCTAAGCAAAAATCGGAATACACACAATGTATCTCAAACCAGCCGTTTCCAAGTTATTGACTTTTGTAAATATCACATACAATTTGATTTAATTCATTTCGATTAGAGGGTGTCAAGAAAAAATAAACCCGAACCTTAATTAATTTAAAAAACTGTTACTTTTGGGTCGGCATTTACATGTGTTGAAGTAAATCGCATAGGGATCTTATTAAGCCGGAGTGAGAGAAATGCGGCGAACCGACGCGACGCGCGACGGTGGGCTGTTGCGGCGTTGCCGATACGCCTTTCCTTATCAAGTAAAGTAAAATCACGATCGCAAACCGCTTATTTTTAAAAGACTATTTTTTCAAGAGATAACTAGATAAAATCATTAAACATGTTTCTGAGCATCTGAAATGAAATTATAAGGATATCGTTAGGGTGTCATTTTTTTATAACAAGAAAACGTCAGTAATCGCGATAATTTAAAAACTCAACTTTCTAACACATGCCCATAACTCAAGAACCACTTTAGATATTGAAACTTTTTTTTATTTTCAAGATCGGATATTTTACAATATGTTTACATAAGAAAAATTCGATAAGGTTGTTTTTCCATTCAAAAATTGTAAACAATCCATCCGTTTACTTTTAGAGCATAGCAATTTTCAGCAATCGTGTAATTTTTTTATTGATAAAGATTTTCACATACTGTCTACAAAAAGAAAATACAGCAGAAATATTAACAAAGTTCTTGAAACTACAATCTATTATTTCTAATAGATTTCGAGATATCGATTTTTGAATTCAGAGTTCTAATAGCGCGACCACTATCGAACACCCACTCAATTCCACTTATTTTTACCAAAAATGCAAGTGTTTCTAGCTTGCACTTAAAAAAATTCAAGCTATAGGGAAAATTACGACTCGTTAATAAATAAACAAATTAAGTATCACGAGACGTAATTAAATCGTGAAGCTGAACGCATGACGTAGCCCTTTCCCTAGAACTTTAAGTACTGACAGAGGTATTGATTGGGTCGACCGGTCAACTGCGACAAATCTGCTATATCTCCTTCCATGTCTCTTAGCGATGTGCACAGTTTCTCGGTTTATTTCATACGTTTGACAACGTGTTTACTGTCCTCTCTTTGTTCAGTACATTATAAACGCATTGTACTCTTCTTACATACGGAAATCTCGACCCAAGACTAACCTTTGCCAGCCCTTAGTATAATTTGTGGTACTAACATAAATATAACTGCAGGGTTTTGTGATTTTAGATGGGAATTGATATTTATATCTGAGAGTAATTCACAGCCTTCCATTTGGAAACTTACTGGTAATAAAGCAACGTCTATAGAATACAGAGAAAAATTACCCAGAAGAGTGTGATTTCTGATCGGGTCAAAAAATTACCTTTGTTTTACTTTTACCTTGGATGTGAAGAAGCAAAGTTTATTATTTTTTCCATTTAAATTGCATGGTTCAAGGTCATTTTCAAAAGATCCGTTATTTCGAAGAAGCACATTTTGAACATTATCTAGATCCAAACTAGAACCTGGAAAATATAAAATAATATGTATTATTTCCACAGTGTCATAGAGAAAGTCTCCTTCATATGGCATTTTTTAGTAATTGATATATCGAGGGTCACACGTTTTTAATAAAATTTTATTATTATTTTATATTTTTTTGCAATATTTTCACAAAAATAATTCAAATATTTTATTTGGTAATAGAGCATTGATATTTCGGCTCTATAATATAATTATTCATTTAAAAAACAAAAAAAAATTGTGTGTGCACTATGTGCGCATATTAGAAGTGGAACTTCTCATGCTGGAAGTACACACTCGCCGAAGCGACCCGAGGTGCGTTAATATAAAACCGTATACCTACTATTCTAGTTTTATAATCTTATAATGTTTTTTTTAATTTTTATTAAAATACGATAATTCTATTACCCGGCCGGACCATTAAACCAAAATACTAATACATCTACAGGGTGTCTTAAAAAACATGTGCCATCTCTCGTGGGGAGATTCCTCACGTAAAAATAAGATTAATTTTTCATATTAACATTACTTTAACACCCTGTAACTACGAAACAAAGCAGAATCGGACCTATGTTGATATGAAAATTTATGATGAAATCAATGGGTACTTATTTAAAACTCTCACAAGTTAATGATATTAAAATTTTTTAAAGGTTGCTATTAAGACTTGGATCCAAGCAAATTAATAAGATTGCGTTTATTTCATCAAGGAGACCGAAATAGACAAAATATCAAGAGATAACTTTTAATCGGCATTAAACTTCTTACACTATTTCGCTAACAAGAGAGAAAAAAGTCAGTGGCGTACATGCATTTTTTAGAAAAATATTCCAGAGATAACCCATATGCACGTCCGTGATGAATTTATCGACACTTTTGTAGCTTTAAAATATGTTGCATTTATGGTAACTTTTACCCCCAAAATTTCATTCGAATCACTAAAAGTACTTGGAAGAAAATTATAATAAATCGAAAAAAGCAAGTACCCATTGATTTCATCATAAATTTTCATATCAACATAGGTCCGATTCTGCTTTGTTTCGTAGTTACAGGGTGTTAAAGTCTTCATTTTTTTTCGATTTATTATAATTTTCTTCCAAGTACTTTTAGTGTAAGTCTTAATAGCAACCTTTAAAAAACCTAGACCGTTATTCAGAAGCTACAATCGATGAAAATATGCATGAAATCAAGGTTGGGACAGTTTCAAGTTTATTATAGTGATTTTTTTAGCTGCGTTGTCATAGATCGTTATCCAGTGTTGCCACAAGCTTATGTTTCATCGTGGTAGATTATCACGAGATAACGAGGTTAAATTGTTTTACAACGGGGTAGATCTACCCCGAATGGGGTGGCTGTGGCAACACTGCCGCTATCACTTTTCCTCTCGTTAGCTCGCGCGTCACGGCTGTCTCGCATGCGCCACGCGGCCGTTATTCAAGGCCGTGTATCACTAACCATCAACTAATTTTAAGTTAATCTTAATTACCATCAGTTAATGCTAAGTTATATATCGCTATATCGCTAGTCATCAGTAGATGATTAAGATTTTAATATTTTTTTTTTATCTTTTAATATTTTTTTTTCTTCTACTAAAGTGTTTTGGTGTAATTCAAAGTAAAAATTAACGAAAGTCAAATTTCGCCTTAAAGTAGTAAATAAAAAAGTCGAGCTTAATTTATAGACTGAACGCCAATCATTCACACGCAAATATGCTTTTTTACTTTTGTTTAAATTTATTAGTAATTTTATGTAGAAATTTTTATCGAGAATAAAACAATATAATCTATTATGATTACTAAATAATAATACAATTAAAATAGTTATACAAATTTCCCTACAAATTTGAAATTTTGTAGGGAAAGCAAAAATACTAAATAATATACTTTACTTTCTGCAACTACCAAACAGCATCCTAGCAGTAGTAAATACGTCATTCTTGATACCATTTTGAATTACTTAATTCAATTATTTTATTATTGATCTGATAAGAAATTTCCTATTCCACAAACATAAACAAACTACAACTTTTCTGAAACAATCGCAATTAAAGGCTGATTAAATACTGAAGCAATGGTAAAAATAATTTTTAATGATTCAAAAACAAAATGTTTTAATGTACAGTACGTGACGCGGTAAGTTAAAATTTTCCACGATAAAACTCTGATTATTACTAGGACATAAAATATTATAATATAGTCTATACAATCATACTTGAAATCATAAAAAAATCGAAAATTAGAGAAATTAGAGAGAGAGTTTTAAGATACTTGTTGAAATGTCTTATTTGTTTGTATTTTGTAATGTCACATTGTTACTAGGGAATGCAATCCCGCACCAAAATCTCAATCCCGCAAACCCGCGGGATTAAAGCAATCAATCCCGCGGATCCGCAAAATTGCGGAATTAAACAATAAATGCTCCTCTTTGTACTCATTAAACTGGCTAATAAAAATGTTTTATGCAATTTAAAACAGGCTATAGTAGCAGAAAAGTATTTATTTCATATTGGTGCAATACAAATTAGAAAAAACAATTTGGTGGATTATTTTTAATTTTTTGTTTTAAGAAAAATACGAGGTTTTTTCGAAAAATATGCATTTAGTCATACATTTGGTCCTAAACGGTACAAAAGGCATTGTACATTTTGCATAGGCCCACAATTTATTGATATAGCGTGTATCATAAATTAGATGTACAGAAATTTGGACCGATGTATACAGGGTGTTGAAAAAATATATTTAATATTAAATAAACTTAAATTTTATTATAATTTATCTACTTATTTTATAAATAAAAATATTATTCTGATGTTGAAGTTTTTTTTAACTTGTGTTAGTTATCTGCTTTTAGATACACTCTATATTAATAAATTTTTGGCATATGCAGAATGTACAAAGCTTTTTAGACTAATTAGGACCATACGTATGACTAAAAATGCATATTTTTAGTCATGCAAAAAAATTCAAAAAAATTCCTGCGGAAATGTGTCAATGTCATTTTGTGCACTTTGTTTTTCATACATTTTTCAGTTTAGAAGCTTACGGCAGACTTACAGGATCCGGGAGTGAATGGGGGTGCTGGGTGGGGTAAAACATCTTTCGGAGGAATAACAATTCTTCTAGAATAGATAATATAGGTTCTTGTAAACTATAAGTACCTCGGATTGTTGCACTTATTCTTGTTTTTTATTAAAGATTTACGTAAATAGGGCTGATTCAAAACAAAAAATCATTTTATCATGCAGTTTTCTATTATATTTTATTAATTAATTGTGATTTTGCAAAAATATTAGATTGGTTAGCATTTGAGTTGCTTTGGTTAGCTTTTCTTTGTGGAGGGTGTTAAACTGTGGTTTTTATATTAACTGTGATTTTGTAAAAATATTATTAGATTTATTATTAGATTGGTTAGCATTTTAGACACTTTTAAATTATTTTTTTTGGTTCAAAAGTGCTTCATCCGAGAATTTTTTTCTTTTAAATTGTTCTATAAGCATAGGACTTTCTGCTAAAAAAAATTTTGCTAAATTTGTGGGTACTTATACTTTACAAGACCCGATAATATAATAAGGAACAAATGGAAAATGAAAATCAAGCATTTCCGCAGGAAATTTTTTATTTTCCTGAGTGTGTAAACGCTTCTAAAAGGCAAAAATATATTTATTTTTTATATAACTGATTTAGCTATTCTAAAGTCTATTAAATTTCCTCAGAAAATAGATACCTACAGTTTATTTCCGCAGGAAAACTTTTATTTTCCTCAATTCGTGAATGCTTCTAAAAGGCAAAAATATATATGTATATACAGGGTGAGTTTCCTACGGTGTTCTCTATGGGCATCTCGGAAACTACTGGAGATAAAGAGTCGTTTAGATGTGGAAAGAATTGCAGTTTTGTGGGGTCATAAATATGCGCCTTTCAGATTTTTGAAAAAGTTCATGGCTTACTAGATATTTCGAAAAAAACAAATTTTGGCTATTTTAAAAATTGTCCCTAATTCCATTACAATCTATTTTAGACAAAATGTGTTCAGATAAAAGTTGTAGATAATCATATTCCTAATGAGTTTGTATTCTCCGATTTTTTATAAAACCTGTCATTTTTGACATATGACACAAACATATGTTTTTTTAAATGGAAACCATAGTTGGCTATGACTTCATAAAAAGCGCCATTTTTTAAGCTTTTCAGCAATATAAGCTATAATATGTTTCTTTCACAAAATTACTGAGTTATAGCCAATTCTTATCTTTCTTGACTAATTTCACTTAGTTAGCCATGGAAGTTTAATCGTCGTTGCTCTCAGAAATGTGAAATTGTGTCACATCCAATCTTTGTAAATAAAAATTTTTCAAATGAAGAAAAGCGTGTAGGATTATTGGTTCAACTTTTCTTGGCCATACAGGATACGTTGACTGGTGAAAGTTACTTACGTTTTTTAGAGAACGGTTTTCAATGGTGTTCAAATTTTGTTGTGATTTATAACTTATAAAAAGACAAAATATGTTTTTAAACGGCTCTTTACAATTTAGATTACACAAACTAAAACTCAAAAAACTAATATCACTACGTACACTTTAAGTTATTTTAGAAAATATTCAAAAAATCCGCAATTATTTTGAGTACATAAATGCATCTTTTTAAAACTGAATTTCTAGCTATTGTCACAGAACGACCGGTCGCCTTAATTAAACTTCTCCTGTTCCGCCTCTTCGAGTGACTCTCTTAATTCATAAGTTTTTTTGTAAACATTGTTGTTAACCATACCGCATAAAAAAAATCTAAAATGGATAGGTCAGATGACCGAGGAGACCCATGCAATTGGTCCACCTCCCTGAGTCTACATAATTATGATATAAATAATTTTTTAAATAACATTTCCTTCATTGTGGGGGGGGGTTGGTGCGTCATAATGAAAGTTATGTTGGAACCACTGTATTAATGCGCGAGTATCTAAATTTAACTTGTAACTTTAAAATATAAACGTAACGTTCACCGGTCAACATATCCTCGAAACTGTATGGCCAAGAAAAGTTGAACCAATAATTCTACACGCTGTTCTTCATTTAAAAAACTCTTATTTACAATTTTAGTTTATGTTAATTTACAAAGATTGGATGTGACAATTTCACATTTCTGAGAGCAACGACGATTGAACTTGTTTCCATGGCTAACTAAGTGAAATTAGTCAAGAAAGATAAGAATTGGTTATAACTCAGTAAGTTTGTGAAAGAAACATATTATAGCTTATATCGTTGAAAAGCTTAAAAACGGCGAATTTTTTAGTCATGGCCAACTATGGTTTCCATTTAAAAAAACATATGTTTGTGTCATATGTCAAAAATGACAGGCTTTAGAAAAAATCGGAGAACACAATCTCATTAGGGATGTGATTATCTACAACTTTTATCTGAAAACTTTTTGTCTAAAATAGATTATAATGGAATTAGGGACAATTTTTAAAATAGCCAAAATTTGTTTTTTTTCGAAATATCTAGTAAGCCATGAACTTTTTCGAAAATCTGAAAAGCGCATATTTATGACCCCACAAAACTGCAATTCTTTCCCCATTTAACTGACTCTCTATCTCCAGTAGTTTCCGAGATACCCATAGAGAACATCGTAGGAAACTCACCCTGTATATTATGTTTACACACAACGATTTTACAAGCGAGTTGTAAAACTAAAGAATGGATTATTTATTACTACATTTACTACAATAATCTGTGGCAAGAAATAGCCCTCAATATTGTTATTAAATTCACAAATTAATTTTTCAGTGTATTGCCGAAAGTTTTATATGATGTGGTCTTTATCTGTGACATTGTATACAGCTTCAATGCTTAAGAATATTAGTTCTCAAGCCAGCGCTCTTCTAATAGCTATGTTGATTTCGTTATTGAAATGCGGATCTTCCTTCAGTGTGTCGTATAAACTAATATTAAAAGCTTGCACAGCATTTCTGTCCAGTACAGCAAACACGGCTCGGAATTGAGGTACTCTCTCAATTATTTCTATTGTGGGGAGGCTCAAGAGTGGTACAGTTTGACCAGAAGACCCTGAAATAGAAATACAGGGTTCTAATTTACAATGTTCTCCAAAAGATTTGTATTAATTGAAACATTTGAGTTATTATATTCGTTACCAATTAAACTTTCAGTTACGTAATCGAGGGCGCCATTTTTAAATTAATTGTTTCCAACCATAAATGGAGCCGCTGCGCTGGGCTAATTAACTGGAATTTAAATTTCCCATTGGAGATTGGTGGCTCTGCTGTAAAAAATGTCAAGTTGCCACAATGATTTATTTATTTCCTGACATTGTCATTCCTTTTGACACTTTAGTTTTGTATTACGAGTTTTTGGTTTAAATAAACTGATGTGTTGTGATTCTGGAGCTTAAAAATTTTCACCAGCAGACCTTGCAGTCGTGCATTGTTCGTTTAGAACCTCTTTTAATGCGTAATAAGTGTACCATTGCGATAAAAAAAGTAGGTAGTACAAGAATTAGTAGTCCTAGATGGATATCGTCATCACTATCTATGAAAACAATACAATTATGCCACCTAACTTTTTAGGCGTTACTATGAATTTGGTAATAATTAATTGGTAGGTATACGTGGCGAAATAAAAGTATGAAAAATTTACCTACCTTTTTTTCAAGTTTTAAAAATATTTTATTATAGACCAGCAGATTAAATCATATTTTGTTGTCCTAGGTACTTTTTTTTGATCGCAATGGTACAAGATAGCTTAATAGTCGTAAAAAACTCATTGCAACTTTATTAGAATATTTTGAACGGGAAAGCGGTACTAATGGCCATTTATGTCGCCTAAGTGCTGTTAAGAAGGTTAGTTTTGTTGATGTAAATAATAACTGTTTATACAGGGTTGTTCACCACATACGACACGGAGTATTGTAGCTAAACGATTAGATTTTTACAAATTCTAAGTCTTGGGTTCGTTGAAGGACTATTCAAGCTACAATTTAAAAATATTTTTACAAGATACAGAGTGTCCCAAATAAATAAAAAATATCAAAGTTTATATATATATATATATCAATTTTTTTAAATGGAACACCCTGTATATTATAATATTTTTAGTTTCTACGATTAAAATAAAGGTAAATTTGATTAAGGTTTATTACACTTAAACCTTACCGTTTTTGAAATATTTTCAATTTTGTGAAATTGCAGTAAAAATTTTAAGGCTTCATTTCTCCGAGGGTATCAAAGTTTTTAATACTAAATATTTACTGAAGTTTATCTATTGATCAGTTATTGTGTTGCAATACTAAAAATTATACTACCTTATACAGAGTGTCTAAAAATTTATTTTAAATAATTACTAGCTTTAAACGGCAATAACTTGTTTAATTTAAATGGAACACCCTGTATATTTTATGAGAATCAGATGCACAATTTAATTGTCTATCAAATTGTATTATACCACTTTTTACCTATCCCTTCAGGTTTTCGTAGAAATTGCATTTTCTTATAATTTAGACCTCATTTATCAATATACCCATGGAATATTGACATTTTAGATTATTTTTAAAACAACAAATGTACATGCTAGTAATATTATCGTTTTTAGTAAAACGATAATATTACTACCCATTTGTATGCAAAAAGTAAACTATGTAAATCTTTACAAAAGAGTATACCATTAATTAAATATACCACCAGTATTTCCGCCCAAATACTAATTAATTACATACTTAATTGTGTTCGTTAATAAATTATTTTAAATAAATGTGGATTTAAATCAGAAATCAATATAATAATAGGTTATGAAAATGAACCTCTTTGTTGTTAAAAATAAGCATTTGTCAAAAAATGAAATATCATTTTTAAGGTGTTAGTTTGTCTTACCACACTGTCTAATACACATACATAATTCAGTTTCTTAGTATTTGGAGCAATTATTATTAATCCACGCAATCAGTCAATTAAAGTAGTTTGAATACTGGAATCATTAATTGGTCCTCTTTAACAAATATTTAAACAGTTTTTTTTATTTTTTAATGAAATAAACGAATTATATCGACAATATTACTACCTGTACTCTTTAAAAAAAAAAAAAATTTGGTACATCTTTAAAAATAATCTAAATTGTTAGTATTCCATGGGTATATTGATAAATGAGTTCTAAATTACAAGAAAATGCATTTTCTACGGAAACTTGAAGAGATAGGTAAAAAATGGTATAACACAATTTGATAGACAATTAAATTGTGCATCTGATTCTCATAAAATATACAGGGTGTTCCATTTAAATTAAACAAGTTATTGCCGTTTAAAGCTAATAATTATTTGAAATAAATATTTAGACACTCAGTATAAGGTAGTAAAATTTTTATTATTGCAGCACAATAACTGATCAATAAATAAACTTCAGTAAATATTTAGTATTAAAAACTTTGAAACCCTCGGAGAAATGAAGCCTTAAAATTTATACTGCAATTTCACAAAAATGAAAATATTTCAAAAACGGTAAGGTTTAAGTGTAATAAACCTTAATCAAATTTGCCTTTATTTTAATCGTAGAATCTAAAAATGTAATAATATACAGGGTGTTTCATTTAAAAAAATACAACTTTGATATTTTTTATTTATTTGGGACACTCTGTATCTTGTAAAAATATTGTTAAATTGTAGCTCTAATAGTCATTCAACAAACCCAAAACTTACAATTTGTAAAAATCTAATCGTTTAGCTACAATATTCCGTGTCGTATGTGGTGAACAACCCTGTACATTAATTTATTTTTGTTTCCTAAAATATTTTGATTAAAAGAAAATACGTAAAAGTGGGCAACGCTATGCCAGTTAAGCTAAATCACGCTACTAAAAGTGTATTTTATACCGTGCTGACAACTGTTATTCTTGGGTCGGTATTTACATGTGTGTGGAAGTAAATCGCATAGGGATCTTATTAAGTCGGAGTGAGAGAAATGCGACGGAGTGCTGTTGCGGCGTTGCCGGTACGCCTTTCCCTATCAAGTAAAGTAAAATCACGATCGCAAACCGCTTATTTTTAAAAGACTTTTTTTTAGAAAAGATAACTAGATAAAATCATTAGAAATGTTTCTGAGCATCTGAAATGGAATTATAAGGATATCTTTAAGGTGTCATTTTTTTTATCAACGAGAATACGTGAGTAATCGCGATAAGTTAAAAACTCAACTTTTTAACACATAACATGCCATAACTCAAGAAACACTTTAGATATTGAAACTTTTTTTTATTTTTAAGATAGGATCTTTTACAATAGGTTTACATAAAAAAAAATCGATAAGATTGTTTTTTTCCATTCAAAAATTGTAAACAACCCATCTATTTACTTTTAGAGCATAGCAATTTTCAGCAGTCGTGTAATATTTTTATTGATAAAGATTTTCGCTTACTATCTACGAAGAAAATATAGCAGGAATATTAAGAATGTTTTTGAAAAAACTAAAATCAATTATTTCTAATAGATTTCGAGATATCGATTTTCGAATTCAGAGTTCTAATAGCCCGACCACTGTCGAAAACCAACTTAATTCCACTTATTTTTACCAAAAATGCAACTGTTTCTAGCTTGCACTTAAAAATTTTCAAACTGTAGGGAAAATTACAACGACTCGTTAATAAATAAACAAATAAAGTATCACGAGACGTAATTAAATCGTGAAGCTGAACGCATGATGTACACCTCTCCCTAGAACTTTAAGTACTGACAGAGGTACTGATTGGGTCGACCGGTCAACTGCGACAAATCTGCTATACAGTACGTCTGTCCGTTCTGTAGCTACGGGGTATCCGTGAGAGGGGAAACGATATTCTCTCGATGTTTTTCGTAAAAAAATAGACGACGCGTCCCATCAATAAAAATTTGACAAATTTGCAAGTAGCCAATAAAATAAGTGGGCGGAGCGATTTGCGGTAACGCACTCGTCAAATCGACGTATAAAATATATTGCTGTTTATTTAAATATTTTTTATCCGCATTCCTTTCATAGACACAGATCCAGCAGACGAACTGTATCCCCTTCCAGGTCTCTTAGCAATGTGCACAGTTTCTCGATTTATTTCATACGTTTGGCAACGTGTTTACTCTTCTCTCTTTGTTCAGTACATTACAAACGCATTGTACTCTTCTTACATACGGAAATCTCGACCCAAGACTAACGTTTGCCAGCCCTTAGTATGAATTATAATTCAGTATGCCAATGACATGAAATATTATATACACGTGTGGCAAAATTTCATTAGCAATAGGAGCTTTTCAATGCGATAAAAAAAGATGTTAAGGCTGCAACAGAGACGGATAAAGTGTCTTTTCCCTACCATTGTATAGGGGAAGTGATCATAAAAGTGATACGACGAGAGAGCTTCTGCGTGAAGGGGCGGGTTTTTAAGACGCTTGTGTGGGGGCTACCGGCTACTAATAGAATAGAATGGAAAAAATAGAAAGACGAAGGACAGTGTTGCCATTCTGTTAAATCAAAATTATGTTGGCTTATCCTAAATCCCGAATCTTCTAATCCCATTATCTTGCCTACTTAATGAAATATTAAATAAAGTACAAAACAATTTTAAGAATGTTTTCTCTAGGCACATAACAACTTCTTTCTAAAACAAAAGTAACATGCAGAAGTTTGAAATCATTTCTAAAATAGCTGTACGATCTTCCTTGCAGTCGCCCCGACACCGACCGGTCGGTCGGCGGCGGCGACAAAGGAAGAAGGCCGAAAAAACTTTATAAAGGAGTAGCCGAACAGGGTTGCCAGGTTTATTAGATTATAATTCCATACGAGAACAAAATTCTCTAGATCTTCAACAAAAATCAAAAGTACAGAAACAAAATAAAATATAATATTTAAGTCCAAAATTAGCATTCCTATGTGTCGTAATACTAGATCACTCAAATAAAATACAAATATAGTAAATATAACAAGAATTAGAAATAGGTAGGTATATTATATTCAGTGCGAGATTCTGAATCATACGTTCTACTCGCCTGGGGTAGTTTTGTTTTAAGGTTCGACATTTCGTGGTTTAGTGGTTTGGTAATTTCAAGGCCACGCTTTTGATTAGAAAATTTTGAGGTTTGGATATGAGAATGGGATGGGACAGTGATTTCCCCAGTATGGTCCTGGGAGATAAGCTATAAGGCTCGCGTGGGCAGGGGCACGTCCCTGCGTGACATTAAGGAAGTGGCAGGTAAACGGTGGTTAAATATAGCACAAAACAGGGAGTCATGGAAAAGGATAGGAGAGACCTATATCCAGGAGTGGATGAATCCGGGTTGAGGTAGAGGTATATTATTTAATATTAAAAAAATATATTGAATTAAACAATATTACTATATTAATAAAAACTATAACAAGTAGGGATAGCAGTCACTTTTTACCTTTGTACAAATTTTGATCAGTGATATCTAAAATTAATTTCATTTCAATGGGAAAGCTGTAGCTCTCAACTCTTTTTTCATATTAATATATTTTTTTGACAGGAAAAGCACTAAAATATTTATTCGTATTCAGTTTGTTTCTTAACTTAGATTTTGTTTTTTGTTTATATTTTTTGGGGGGAAAATATGGGTTTAACTTTAGTAAATGAATGAAACAAAATCTTTTCAAAAGATATCAACATCTTCGGGCATATGCCAATACCGCGCCTAATAAAGAGTAATAAGGATTTGTAGGAATATATTTGTCACTCTGCAACTAGACAGAACGATGACCTATGATTACTAAATAAAATTTAATAAACAATAATAAAGTCAGATTAGACTAAAGACGCAGTTGAACATATCGTTAGATTTTTGTTTAAATCGGTAGCTTACAGACGAAACCGGTAGACCTGGCAACTCTGTGTGGACTGAGGTGATGGCATTTTGCGGAGGCGCGGGAAGGGAAATAAAATAATGGTGATAAAGGGCAGGTGGATATCATGGGTGGATGGGAGGCGGCGGAATTTCCAAAATTTGTTATCTTATTGGAGTTTGTCTAACTCGCAGTCGTAGTGGAAGTGGAAACGGGGAAGTTGTTGTCCATCTCTGTTTAAGCTTAGACTTTTTATAGGCATTTCATTCCAATGCATGTGATTCCTATGCCTAGATATCCTATTACCGGACCTGTATATTATATTATATTATATTGGCATGCCAATAACATGAAATAAAAATAATTTTCTTTTATGCCATGTGGTAGTAATTCTTTTTAAAAGTGTAACGAGTGTGATTAAATGACGAAATACCTAATAGTACAAAAAAAAAGTTGCTCAGGATCCAAATTTATGTTTATAGGGCTCTACAGACGTAACGATTTATTGTATTGCAGACATTTGTGGCTTACAGTACTGCAGCCGTTTAGATTATTGCAGTTTCTGGTTAAAAAAGTTTGTTAAAAATTCGATTGTGCATTAAATCTAAAAGATGATATTATATTGTTTATTTTCTTTTACATTAGTGCCGTTCAGATTCGGCGATAAACTGTCCCGTGTATCTACTAGAGTAACTGATGCACACAACAAGGTATCTGTGTGAGGTGACCTAGAGCATGTCACTGCAAGAAGGAGAAGATGAAGATAGACCGCAAGCTCACCGAGAGAGCAAAATTAGTGATGGGATTATTGAAATAACAGACATCGCTCGATTATGAACGAGCGATGCAAGTGACGAGTACGAGCGACGAACGCAAGCTATCCTAGAATGAAATAAATTGAAATCCGATTTTAATGTGACATACTCGATAAAAAGCCGAGCGAATTTTCTACGTATATTGCAGGTAGCAAATTTATACGACGTTATCCGTTGCGTATCTGAGTGACAAAATCTTACGACTATATATCAACAATGCTTTGAAATGAACTAAATCAAGCGAATTACTCGTCGCTTGCTACTTGCCATTCATCACCGGAAGAATATGTGCCCTGCCCACGCAACTTACTGCTTGGCGCTTGGCGTTAACGAGTACTTACAACAAGCGACAGGCGGAAAAACCGTATTTTGAAATATGAGCGATATTTCGCTCGAGCGATCGCTCGATTATTGCAATCGCTTGAAACTCGAGTACTCGATTATTGAAATTAACCGGTTTTCCCATCACTAAGCAAAATAACCTAAAGAAATAATCCACATTTTAAAAAAAATTGTGTGTACACTATGTGCGCATATTTGAAGTGAAACTTCTTACTAACAGCTGTTAAATTGGAGGATTTAAAGGACATATAATGCTGTTTTAATATAAATGTTATTTTCAATTTACTTCTGTAATCTCCACATTTTCTGTTTCCTCAATAGCCTGCAACTTTTGTGGAATACCACCCAAAATACACACTTTTATGTAAATGCCTAATAACGTTAACGCTTAAATTTATTTAAGAAGAAAAAATAATTTGAACCTAACCAACAATTCGTATTTATAGTGGTTAACAGTAATTTTGTTAAATTATTCGAATATTCTCGTTGATTATTGGTTTGAAATAAATATGACGATGTACTCTAATGAAAATGTGAGTTGCTTAACTCTAATAACTCTAATTCTGAGCTAGTAAATGAGCTAAATGCTTTACTTAGACCGTTATTCAGAAGCTACAAATCTATCGATGAAAATACGCATGAAAATTTACTTTCTAGCACACAACCAGAGGATATTGGTAATTGGTACCCAGGTACAGTATCAAGTTTATTATAATGTTTTTCTTAGCATTATAGTAGTTAGTTTTACTTTAAAAATTTGTTTTTCTAAAATTCTGTCCCAATAAACGTTGCTAGACCTTCGACTACTTACGGACTACACCATCTTCAGCAGGAAGGGATATTCCAGGTAATATTTCTTGAACAGATATACGATTTTCTTCACTATTCATCAGATTGACGGTACTTGAGAACAGTCCAGCTAGAGCGCTGTTGATCAGTTTCGGAATTTTCAAAGGTGTGAAGATCTTGATGATCGAGGAAGCCATGGTGACAGCATCGGGCACGTTGGAATCAGTGAGAATTTTGAAGGCTTGTGCCACATTGACGTTTCGAAGTTTTAAAGTTCTATTGCCTCGCATGGTGTCCATCATTTTTATCAGAGGTGTCAACGTTTTTCTGGAACATAATTTAGTTAAAATATCTCATTGTACTTAAAAAAACTTGGATTATTAAAAGAAAAAAGAAAAGATCTTAAAAAAGATTGAAATATGTATTTTCGACCTTTGTATACATGCGTCTGGGCAACAGTCTCCTCGGTATGTAATATACTATTATTTACAACTCTGTATTTACTTTCCCTCCTCGGTATGTAATATACTATTATTAACAACCACAAATATGTAATACTGACATTACTGACTTTTAAAAAATTTGAAAGTGTCAAATTATCTACATTTCTTTCCTCTTCCATTTCCCTCACCCATTTCCCTCACTCGGTTTTTCTTATTTCTCGCCTCATTTAATTAAGCAAAATATTCTTGTAATATCTTTATTAAATACTTATCTAAGACCAACAAAAATAAACAAGAAGATTAATATATAGTAATACTAGCGTGTACTGTTCGCGTCGAATTAATCATTTGTAATGGTGACGATAAAGCAAAGCAAGAATTTCCATTAACATACAAACTGGATAAAATTTTCTCACATTTATGTCAGCATGAGAAAAAACAATATGGGGATATTATTATATAACTTGGTAATATTTGAGGGGTAGTTTCATCTCGTTGGAATTTGACTTTCGAAAAATCCGTTTGCCAAAAATAAGCTTTTTACGTAAAGCAGTTTAAGCAGAATCGTGGTTAAGAAATTACCCAACTTTTTGGAACACCCTGTATGATTTTTTAAAAAATTTCAAAATATGTAAAAAATCAAATAAATTATGCTTGTACAAGCGTTTTCTAGACTAACCGTTTTTTAAATAACAAATATTCTAATATTTGAGGGGCGTTTTCACCTTCTTGGAATTTGAGATTCGAGAAACTCCTCCGTATCGAATCTCTACACCTCACAGTCAATCCGTTTGCCAAAAATCAGCTTTAAACGTCAAGCAGTTTAAGCAGAATCGTGATTACTCATTGGTCATATTTTATGAAACACCCTGTATAAATTTATAAAAAATCTTAAAATATGTAAAACAACAAAATAAAATATACGTGTTTAAGAGTTTTTCCGAAAAACTCACCGGTTTTTAAATAAAAAATATTTTAATATTTTAGGGATAGTTTCACCCCCTTAGAATTCGAGTTTCGAAAAATCCCTTCTTATCGAACCTCTACACCCTAAAGTCAATCTGTTTTCCAAAAATCAGCTTTTACGTCAAGCGCTTTAAGCAGGATCGTGATTAATCAATGACCAGATTTTTCGAAACGCCCTGTATACATTTTTAAAAAATCTTAAAATATGTAAAAAACAAAACAAAATATACGTGTTTAAGCGTTTTTTCGGAAACTTGACAGTTTTTTAAATAAAAAATATTGTAATATTTGAGGGGTGGTTTCACCCTCTTGGCACTGGAATTTCGAAAAATCCCTTCTTATCGAACCTCTACACCCTAGAATCAACCTGTATGCCAAAATTGAGCTTCTTACGTTGAGTGGTTTGAGCAGGATCGTGATTAATCAGTATGTCAGTCACTTAAGGATTTTATACAGTGTGTCAATTTTAAAACTTCCCACCTTTCATATCTTTCTTGCTGTTTAAAAATATGAAAAATCGGAAAGACACGTCAGTTTTATTTGTAAGGGGGACACTTTAAATTAATATTTTTAGCCTTTTTCTTTTAACCCCCTAGGAGGGGTAGATGTCACCCTTACAATTTTAAATGGGAATGGGGGTCAAGTGGCACATCGTTTTAAAGGACGTTTATTTCTCTTTTCAGTGGTGTCCTACTTTGTTGCTTTTTATTCAGAGGTTTCCGAATAATCGCGTTTCAAAGTTGCAGAAACAATTAAACATGCCTGCATTGAGATTATGGTTTCCGTGCATAAGAATGAAACCTCCTGCCTTCGAACAGCCCCGTAAAATATGGACATCACTGAACAGAATACGCACCAACCATGGCATATGCGCGGACTCATTACACAAATGGGGTAGGGCGCAATCTGCGAGGTGTGACTGCGGAGCGGAAAAACAAACCATTCTACATATGGTGATGGAATGCCCAAATACAGCATATGAGGGAAACTTTGACGATTTCCTGATGGCAACTGACGCCTCAATTGACTATATATACAATTTAAATGTTTGTTTGTGAATTGGAATAGTTTTTATACACTTTTATGCATTTTATGTCATGTGCAGCCATACGATAAATAAATAAATATGGTTTTCAGGCTAGTGTTTATAAAAAAATATTGCAATGGATCTCCATGTAGTACAAATAATGAGAAGATTAGGTGAAAACATGGACGTAGCAATTATATTTTTCTAGGGGGTCGAAATACTAATAAACAGAAAACATCATCAACATTAACGTTTCTTTTCTTAAATTTTAATGAGGCAACCTCTAATCAGTTATACAGGAGGATGTGTTAACATTTCAGCAGGACGGTGGCTCCACCTCAATATTTTCTTCCGATCAGACAGTGGTTAAACGAGAGATTTCCGGGTACATAGATTGGCAGACGGGGACCAATTGAATGGCTTCCAAAATCACCGGATTTAACACCCTTAGATTTCTTTCTTTGTGGACATCTTAAATCCATTGTTTATAGAACACAGCCTACTAATATTGATGATCTTAAAAGGCGAATTACAGCAGAATGCCGGTCAATTCCCGGTGAAGTTGGTGAAGTTTTCCGAAATGTTAGGGAGGAGTTTGAAAACACACTTTATTATTGTTAACAGGAAAATGGACAACATTCTGAACAACTTATAAGATAAGGTGTAAGTGGTGTAATGTGATCTTCTAATCTTTTTTGTACTATAAGGAGATCCATTGCAATAATTTTTGTGTAAACACTAGACCGAAAACCAAAATCTCAATGCAGGCATGTTTAATTGTTTCTGCAGCTTTGAAACGTGATTATTCGGAAACCACTCGACAAAAAGCAACAAAGTAGGATACCACTGAAAAGATAATTAAACGCCCTTTAAAACGATGTGCCACTTAACCCCCATTCCCATTTAAGATTGTGAGGGTTACATCTCCCCTCCCTAGGGGGTTAAAAGAAAAAGGCTAACAATATTAATTTAAAGTGTCCCCCTTACAAATAAAATTGACGTGTCTTTCCGATTTTTCAAATTTGTAACTACAAGAAAGATATTAAGGGTGGGAAGTTTTAAAATTGACACACTGTATATTAGTATAGATAAATTAATAATAATTGAAGATTTTAATACATTTATTTGTTGAAGGTAAAAATGCTAGACATCTTTGGCTTAAAACCTACATTCTGGCTTTTTAAAAAAGCGACGAGTTTGTGATATTTTGATATGTCAGTCTTTTCCCTTAATTCTAGCATTGTCCGTATCATGCTGTACGTAGCCCAAAGAGTAGATGGCTTTTTCTGCCTTGCCATATCGCTAAAATTGCCATCAAGACTGTCTCTGAAGCAATATTCTTAGCATTTCTTTCGGCACACCATTTTTCGTATACTTTCAATGTTATTTCATATCGGCCCCTTTCTCTGGAAGTAAACTGGCTTCTGCTCTTTTTGTAGCTTCTGTAAGTTCTGGTGGAGTACCAATATTAAATTAATCTTCATTATCAGAATTTTCCGACAACATTCTGGATTTCTATGTTATAGAAATTCGAAAAAGCGAACGAGAAATTCAAAACTGTCATTTAGTTGTTTGTTTTGCTGTTGAAGGTTTGCGCCATAACAACCACTGGTACCGGTAACTATAGATATTTTTTCCTTTCACGTCAAGTTTTTTCCCTACAGGTGTTGTGCATGCGACTACCCTTCGCAGGATTGAATGCGAATCACCTTGACCTTAAAATGGTCTGTTTTCTTCTTGGCCAGCAACGCGGATATACCAAGTATCCCTGTTTTTTTGTGCATGTGGGACAGCAGAGCTCGTGAAAAGCATTGGGTGCAATCGAACTGGTCGCCAAGATCTGTTCTAAGATCTGGTGATCCCAACATTTTAAATCAGCCAGTTGTTGACACAGAAAAACATTATATTTCCGCCTTTGCATATAAAACTAGGTCTCATGAAGCAATTTGTGAAAACTTTGTCAATTGAAGGAGATTGCTTTAAGTATATCATTTCGGCATTCCCTAGCCTGTCATATGAAAAGATAAAGGCTGGTGTGTTTGATGGTCCACAAATTAGGCAACTCATTAAAGATGAACATTTCACTGAAACAATGACCGAACTTGAAAGGAATGCTTGGTTGGCTTTCAAAAGTTTTGTTAAAGACTTTCTAGGATATACACGGGCCCCGAATTATATCGAAATTGCTGAACAACCCTTGGAGAGCTTTACGAAGCTTGGTTGCAACATGAGCATCAAAGTGCATTTTTTACATAGCCATCTTGCTAACTCCCAGAAAATCTTGGTGCTGTTAGTGATGAGCAAGGCTAGCAATTTCACCAAGATCTGAAGGTTATGGAGGTGCGATATTAAGGCAGATGGGATGTCAGTATGATGGCTGACAACTGTTGGGGCATCAAGCGGGAATGCCCACAAATTGAACACTCCAGGAAAAGCTATAAGAGGAAATTTTTACTATAATATCTTTTTTTATTATTTTTGTATAAACACAATTTAACTTTTAATATATTAACCTCTGTATGAATAAAATATTCTAATCTATTTGGTCAGATCTTACCTTATTTCCCGTTGTATGTGCACTTTTAAGGTAAAAGGAGGGGTATGCTGTAGCTTAAAAACTTGACGTAATAGAGAAAAACTGTGAATATTTTTGAACTCAGAGACAAAAAATTAGTCAAAAACAGGTCACAGATCCAAGTCAACAAAATTGCTGTTCCCCAGTGTAATCAATTATTTAGACATAATGTTCATTCACGCCGGTTAATTCTGATAAAAACTCAGGAAATATCTTCGGAAACAAATTATAAAGTACTTACTTTTTGTTATTTTTCTGGGTGAAAAGCTTTTTTAGTCTCTCAGTAACTTCATAGATTTCTTGATCTACGGGTATTCGAGCTTTTTTTCGTTCCACGAAAAACAACAGAACCATGTCAGTGATATCTTTAATACGAGAAGATGTTTTGAGGGTGTTTCTTAGAAGTTGTTCGGCTATTTTAGCGACGATGGTGAATACACCTAAAAGAAAGCTAGTTTAATAATAATTATAATGAACTTAGAATCCATTTGAGGTTTGAACCTTAGTCTTCAATACCGGTTTGGGGTAAATTTTTTCTTTATTTTATTTTCGTTTATATTCTGATTAAAAAAACACTTATTGGATACTTGTTCCATTTATATTCAATACTAGAATTTAACGGACTAAATAAAAAAAATATATATAAATAGGATCTTCTTTCAATAGTTCAGTAGTGAACGCAACGTCTATCGGTATGCGGCAGCCAGACGACTCACGCTCTTTCAGAGAGCATAGCAAAAGATATGTACGAGTATTAAAGAGCCAGCTTTTTTAAAACACTTTCTCGAAAAGGTTGCTACCTCTTAGACTATAAGAGAATATTGATTTTTGAAAAATCTGTTCGGAGAGAGAGGGAGAGTTCAGATTATTCTAGTATTTATTTCTCCGTCAGAAAATCGATTGATAGGTGAAAATTGAAAAATGGCAGACTTTCAAAAGTTCAAAATTGTGTTGGTTTATTAGTTCAGTCACTGGGGATCAAAAAAGGGGCCTGCTTGGAAAAAAGTCCGGAAGTTTTGAAACTTTGCAGGTTTATAGGTTTTGGGGCCCCTAACTAAAATCCATAAAATGCACATATCCAGACTTGCCACCGGCGCCGCCATCTTGCCAAGATGGCGCCCAAAATAGGTATTTTGTGAATATTTCGAAAACCATGCGTTTTTCGCGAAAATTTTATGAAAATTTTCTCTAAAGTCAATCGTTTAGGCACAAAATCACTGGAAATTCTACAATTTTGCGTAAAATATGATATATTATGTCATAGTCGATTTTCTGAAATCAAATGTCGATTAGGGTTCACTAAAACTAGTTTTAGTTTAGTTTCTTCAATTTTGTCATGAAACAGTGACGTATCATTAATTCGCACATTAATTTATGAATAATTAATTGTCGTGCTGGACAGCATTCATTGCGAACTTACCACCAGGTTCAGCATTGGTCTGATTGTACCAAAGATGCCGAAGAATGGGGTTGGAAGAAAACAAAAACAGGCATTACTTCAGTCCAGGGGTGGATGGGGAAGTGGAAACCGGCCCGGGAAAAACAGGCAACCGGCCCAAATCCACAAAAAATAAAATGACCATAACGAAGAAACATATTTTATTTATTAATATATAAGAAAGGGTGTTTTTCGCTCGTGCGAAAAAGCTCTTTTGCGTCGGGTTTAAAAAAAATAAATTGTTTTGATCAAAAATTTCGTAAAGACCAATATTGGGTCGGACATCTGAATTTTTACTACAAAATGGTTCAGTTTTACAGGGTTCTACTGCTTTATTTCCATTATCGATAACGGTAATTTGATCTTGAATATGCTACGATTTTGAGTCACGATTTTGAGAAACTTTAAGACTTCCTGATTTATTCAGTTCAGCTGACCCAATCCTCTGTGAAATACATTCCTGTGACCCAATCCTCTGTGAAATATATTACTTTAACTTGATTGGACTTATTTGAAACTCGATAAAGAGAATATATTATGTTTATTTTATTGAGATCTACCAGCCCTGAAAATATTTGCACTTATTCAAGATTCACCCTGTAGAGTAATATCGTGTTTTTTATAACTCTCTACCGCTAATTGAGCCACGATTTTTTTGTTTGTCCTTTTGCATACGGCTTTTTGAATAAATAAACATGACTTTCCACCAATCGACATGCATGTATGGGATGATTTTTTTTGTCAAATTCCATGCTTCTTACGGGTTGTCTGTCGGCATTTTAGCCACGAGAAAAATGTCTATCAATATGTATAATAAAAATTTTCAAACCGAACAAACAACAGATGATTATTAAAATTACATATAAGTGTCTCAGAGAAAGACATTTTACAATAGTTATTTTACAAATTGGTGTTTATGTTTAAAAGCAACTGACGATTATACTGATGCAAATTGATTAGTTAGTTATGGAGTCACTAAGGATCTTACATCACTTTAGTTAGAAGATAAAGCATTTAATTTTTGCTAATCCAATCTTTTTTGAGCTCTGATCGGGACCGGCCCACCGGCCCATCTTTCCACCGGCCCACCGGGAATTTTCCCATATGGCCCATCCACCCCTGCTTCAGTCACAATGTTGAAATATCCAGCTCCAAAATCCCTATTGGCATTTTTATCCTGTAAATGCAAAACCAACAACTATGGTAAAGCCTGCGGATGCAGAAAAGCAGGATTAAAATGTTCAATGATTTGTGCATACTGCAATGGGAAATCCTGTGACAACGTCACTGAAGTGTCACTCGACGAATCCGATGAAGAGGAGTTGGACTTGCCTGTAGATATCCCTCTGGCGGCTGAAGATGAAGAGTTGGACGAATTGAGAGACCACCCTGATGAGCCCAGCACAGCAGACACGATCGACTTTGACATCAATGAGCCAGATCCGTCGGGTTTGTGCAGATAAGTTAAAGTTTTTAATTTATCTAGTGGAGTAGGCCTCCAGGGAGACCACGTTAAAATAAACGCGCCGTATACTTTACCTCTTGGGTGGTGTGGAAACAAGTACACATTTTCAATTATTAAAATTAATTATTCATAAATTAATGAGCGAATTAATGATACGCCACTGTTTTATGACAAAATTGAAGAAACTAAACTAAAACTAGTTTTAGTGAACCCTAATCGACATTTGATTTCGGAAAATCGACTAATCATAATATATCATATTTTACGCAAAATTGTAAAATTTCCAGGGATTTTGTGCCTAAACGGTTGACTTTAGCAAAAATTTTCATAAAACCTTTTTTATAGGAAATTTTATTCTCTTTAATTTTGCTCTCCTGAAATTTTCGCGAAAAACGCATAGTTTTCGATTTTGGGCGCCATCTTGGCAAGATGGCGGCGCCGGCGGCAAGTCTGGAAATGTGCATTTTATGGATTTTAGTTAGGGACCCCAAAACCTATAAACCTGCAAAGTTGCAAAACTTCCGGACTTTTTTCTAAACAAAAATCCCCAATGACTGAACTATATTCTTACCTGTCGAATCTTGAAGTCCCATTCCACCTAGACCTGCTATGATCCGGATACTGATAAGAGGAGATTTGCCCATAAACGCTATGGTATTGACCAATGTAGTTTTGTTGGCAATTTCGGACATGATTAATTCAAACGACTCCAAACCATTCAGTTTTCCTATCACTATTCCTAAAGGGATTCTGTAATAAAAATAAATAAATAAATGCCTTTATTGTCAAAAAAATTTACAATTTGTAGACAAAGGTAAAGTAAACAAACAAAGTAAACAAACAAAAGGGAATACAAAACATTATACAAATAACATTGTCAGTCTTATTGTTTAAAATAAACCTTTATAAATGTTTACAATGTCAAAGAACAAAAAAATAAAAATAAGATTGAAAAATATTTAGTAAGTTTATACTAAATATCAATGACCTCTAGATAAATTTACCTCGATGTCATTAGTAAATATAGTAAAAGAAAACATTAGACCAGTGTTTACAAAATCCTTGTCTAGTAAATAAGATTTCAATGCTTTGCGAAATGAAGAAAATGGTGTTATGGATTTGATTTCAAATGGCAGGTAATTGTGCATTTTTTTCGAGTTGTATAATATTGAACTGTGTGAACTCTGAGCATGGGGTAGGTAGATAAAGATCTTGCTTGAGAAGCTGATACATGCTTACGTATTAGGCAAACGGATTCAAATATAAATAAGGTGCGTTCTGCTGTTTAGTCCCAGTGAATATCGAACAGCTCTCTTCTGGAGCTTGAAAATGCAGTCAAATTGAGTCGCACAACACGTACCCCAGAATGGAATATCTGAGGTGCGACTCAAAAAGTGCATAATAAACAGTTCTAGCCACTGACAAATTAAGCTCCTTATAAACAGATCTTAATACAAAACAGGCAGAGCTTAATTTTTTCGAAAAAGCGTCGATATGCATAGCCCATTTCAGAAAATTGTCTACAACAAGCCCTAAGAATTTTAAAGATTTTACGACGCCAATGGTGGTGCTGTTAAGTACAAAAGGCTGCAGTTTTTATACGACAAAGCTTTAGTTTTAGAAATGTTGAGACTCAGGAGGTTCGAATCGCACCAAGATTTAATGGTGGTTGAGTCATTTGATATAATCCTATGAAGTGCCGTGACGTTCTTGTTGCTCCAAGTGAAGCTAGTGTATGTTTATGTTAGCAATGTCGTTAATAAAAAGAAGAAACAAAATAGGCCCTAGTACTAAGCCTTGTGGTACTCCACATTCTATTGGCTTGCTAGAAGACAACGTGGTATCCACCCTCACAAGTTGACTTCTGTTGCTCAGATAAATTCTATTCTATTCGAGAGATGTTCCCCTGAATAGTGCTGTAGTTTATTAATTAGGATCTTATGATATACACAGTCGAACGCCTTAAAAAAAATCACAGAAAATTGTTGCTGTAGAATGATGGTTATTTAGGCTGGAAAAAACTTTATTAAGGAGGGAAAACATAGCGTCATTTGTGGACTGGTTGCTTAGAAATCCAAATTGATGTTCAGTAAGTATTTTGTACTTAAACAAAAAAGATTTCAGCCTTCTTTTAACCAACCTATCTATGATCTTAGATAGCGTTGGAAGGAGTGCAATTGGGCCATAGTTAGAAGCTTGATCTTTGTCTCATCCTTTATGCAGAGGAATGATTATTGCCGTCTTAAGACATTTTGGAAAAATACCATTTTGGAATGACATGTTTATTAAAGTAGTAAGGTGATTTAGAGTGCTTACTGGCAGATTCGAAAACATTTTTAGAGTTCGCCCGTCGGTCCCAGATGAGGATTTATTTTTGATGATATTAATTGTACTGCGAAGCTCATTCAAAACTAAGGGCGAAAAAAATAAACTGTGTACCACACTGTGTAGAGTAATAAACTAAAACATTTTTTTTGTATTTCATTTATCTAGCTATTAATTAATTAAACTACAATACATATATCATAAATATATTAGAAAAGAAATATCACGTTGCTTATAGATAGTGCTTTGGTGGAAATCATCGTGAGTTTTGAAACTGCTATTCAACACTTGCCGGAGGCTTAGGTATTTACAAGAGGGGCTTGTAGAAATCAATTATAAAAAAAATATCGTTTCCTATACTATATCATTAAACATACATACCAAGAATTTACAATATTCAGAAACACCTCACTGTGGTATTGAGTAATAAAAAGGATTGGAAGGGAGAAACATTTGCTTAGCATGTATAAGACCATATAATACCGTGGTATACTGATGCTTCCAGAACCAAAGCATGGACAGGGATAGGAGTATTTGGGCCGAAAACAAAATATTCTGAATAAATGGGCACCTATCCTAGCATCCTTTAGGCAGAAATCTACGCTATCGACAGAGGTTAAAAATAATAATAATTTCCCTGCCATTAAATTTACTTATGAAAATGAGAACGATAGATTAGCATTTCTAGATGTAATAGTTATTAGAAATACTAATAATTACCTGGAATTTGATATCTATAGAAAAATACCACTACATGCAGATATACAGGGTGTCCCAGGCTGAGCGTGCATTAGAAGTTTCTAGAGAATCACAATATCTAGATCGGAGATTTTTTTGCATAGCATTGTTTTACAACGAGATCTATCGATTAAAAATATTTTCAATATGGCGACACTTCCGGATGTACCGGAAGTTGGCAGCAAGTTTGTTTTGTTAAATGGGTGCCCCCATTTTTTATTATGTACTTAAATTCTCTGTAAAATGTTATGAATTTTGATATTAAACACTCTATATCTAACATTAACCGTTTTTGAGAAAAAAATATATTTAAAATTTTTGGACGAAAAAAAACACATGTCAAAAAAATTTGTATACCCTAAAAGTTAAACCTAGTGATTACCACAGCCACTGTGACATAAAGAGAAGACATGTGGCTATCTATTTCAAAAATTAAATAGTTCAAATGTCATATAATAATGGCGGTAGCTATCATGGAATTGAGTGATTAAAAAATTATCATAAATCATTTTTTTCAAATGTAAACCCACTTTTTTTATTTCACTAAAGCAACGGTTTTTCAATTCGTTACTTTTTAACTATGTTCCTATACCCTTAAAATAAATTGTTTTTAAGTTATTTAAGATTTAGTTTGAAAACGTATATTTTTCTTGATTTTATCTAGCTTCCTTTGACATTAAGTGTCAAACGGTCAGACAATTTATTTCCATCTGTCAGAAGACAAATTATTTTAGTTTCCTATAGCTATACTGCCTGCCTTAAGAATTTAAAAAGTGTATTTATAAAAATATATCTGGTATTTTTGCTTTTTAGCGATATCTAATAGTTAATATTATTAATAATGTTCCATATGATCGAAAGAAAAAACAGCGCAAAGTTCGCCCGAAAATGATGCTGCTTTTTAAACAAAGCGTGACAATATGACATGGTCAGATCTATTGTTTTATCTATTCTATCACTTGACATTTAAAGTCATAGGATACTGGTTAAAATCAAGAAAAATATACGCTTTAAAACTAAATCTTAAACAACTTTAAAACGATTTATTTTAGGTATAGGAACATGCATAGTTAAAAAGTAACGACTTGAAAAGTCTTTTTACTAGCGAAATAAAAAAATTGGGTTTTCATTTGAAAAAAATGATTTATGACAATTTTTTAATCGCTCAATTCATTGAGCTCAATTCATGACAGCTGCGGCCATTATTATATGACGTTCGAACAATTTAATTTTTGAAATAGATAGCCATATGTTTTCTCTTTATGGCACAGTGGCTGTGGTAATCTCTAAATTTGACGTTTAGGCTATACACATATTTATGACAGGCAGTTTTTTTCGTTCAAAAATTTTATTTTTTTTTTCTCAAAAACGGTCAATGTTAGATATAGAGTGTTCAATATCAAAATTAATAAAATTTTAGAGAGAATTTAAGTATATAAAAAAATGGGGGCACCCATTTAAAATAAGAAAGCTGCTGTCAACTTTCGATATTTCCGGAAGCTCAGCCATATTGAAAATATTTTTAATCGATAGATCTCGTGAAACTATGATGTGCAAAAAATCTCCGAGCTAGATATAGTAGTTCTCTAGGAACTTCTAATGCACGCTCAGCCTGGGACACCCTGTATTCCTAATGAGTCATATCATAGTATTAAACATAAGATGGCAAGATTAAATTTCATACTTATTATAAATAAATATTCCTTATATATAAATATTCCTTCATTAGTCAATAAAATAATTAGAAAACGTAGGTATAAGTTTGCGATTTCTGAAAATGCGACTTTTCAAGTGGAGTCAATATAGTTTTGGAATACGTCAAAATAGTTTTCAATACTATTTGATAGAGAGTTATCTCGTGGTCTATAAACTTGTGTATAGTGCTAATAATAAATTACAACAATTATTAGGTAATCCTAAAGATAAAACACCTCCACTGGAAAGGTCGGGTATTTATGAAATTTCGTGTAAAGATTGTAATCAGAAATATGTTGGGCAAGCTAGAAGACCAATATTAACTAGATATAAAGGACATATAGCTCAGGTCAGGATGCGGTAGACAGAATAACTGTGTTGCCCAAATATATTGTTGATAAGAGAGCATTGTATAGATATTAATAATTTAAAATTAATACAAGTCTCAAATTACAGGCAATTATATACATATGTGAGCTTCAAAATTAATAAATGTAGGTAAAGATAGTATGAACAGAGACAACGGTTCTCAGTCCCTATTGCTCTAGTTTCGGTAATTAATTGTTACGCTCGGTTGGTCTAGTTTTGCCACGCCGATACCAACTGAGCGAGTACATAAACGTTCAATTTGTAGATATTAGTTTAGTTTTAATCATCTGCTGATGATGCTAACATGGTTAGCGAAAAACCTACATACCATCGATTATTTATGCATCAACCTGTATGCGATTACATACCTCACATTCCGAGAATTTAATTTCAGAATTGAACACCTTAAAGTGAACAGGGTAAATGTTTTGATGATTTCCCATATGTCCAATGCATCATTCTTCAACATTAACCATCCGTTGGTACTTAAATCGATGATGTCGGCTATCAGTAGTTGGATGGGGCTTTCTACTTCAAGAATCAACTTCATGGCACCCGTAACAACTGGACCTGAACCTAAACATACGGTAGATTAAAGTTGCAATATCAACAACGGTAAACCAAGAAGAGATAATAAGGCAGCAAAGAACACATCGTACGGTGGCCATCTTTATAGACAGACAAGCAGCGCTAAATGCACTTTGTTTCACGGGGGTCAATTCCAGAATGGTAAAATAGAAAACAAATTTCTTGCAGTATCGGTATATATTAAAATTATATAAAAATTCTTGCCACTTAATTGCTGATATAGAAATTTAATTCTACGCTGTGTTTGTCATAATGCGGATCAACCTGCTCTCACTACCCGTTTCGGACCCCTACTCCATCATCAGGTGAGCTTGGGCAGACCCTACAAAATGACAAACACAGCGCAGGGTAGTTAATTCCGACTTGTCGGAAAGTATCGGTAAGATATTAAGTCCCGAACGGGAGATAGAGGCCTGTGTGCAATGGTAGTGCTTTCGTACCACCGAGGCACAACTATCAATAGTAAAAGGATGGTAAAAGGCCTTTTTTCAGGCAAGCCAAATTATAAAATAGAAAACAAATTTCTTGGAGTATCGGTATATATTAAAATTATATAAAAATTCTTGCCACTTAACTGCTGATATAGAAATTTAATTCTACGCTGTGTTTGTCATAATGTGGATCAACCTGCTCTCACTACCGGTTTCGGAGCACTACTTCATCATCAGGTGAGCTTGGGCAGTTCCACAAAATGTATTTAGAGCGCACACAGGATAGTGCAAGAAATTTGTTTTCTATTTTATAATTTGGCTTGCCTGAAAAAAAGCCTTTTACCATCCTTTTACTATCGATAGTTGGGCTTCGGTGGTACGAAAGTACTACCATTGCACGCAGGCCTCTATCTCCCGTTCGGGACTTAATATCTTACCGATACTTTCCAACAAGTCGAAATTAACTACCCTGCGCTGTGGTTGTCATTTTGTGGATCTGCTCAAGCTCACCTGATGATGGAGTAGGGCTCCGAAACCGGTAGAGAGAGCAGGTTGATCCACATTATGACAAACACAGCGTAGAATTAAATTTCTATATCAGTTAAGTGGCAAGAATTTTTATATAATTTTATTATATTCCAGAATAGTGTGAGATTCTATGTGTGCTCTAAATACATTTATTGAGCGTAGCAATGTTACATTAGTCTGGGTACCGGGGTACGGGGGATCACAAGGAATACTTCACTTGGAATCCCCAGCAGACGAATCACAAAATATCGTAAGAAACCATATACTGCTCATAAATCAGAGGTTTAAAAATACGGTTCAGACCATAACCCTTTTATAGCTGATTTCTCATTCTAATTATATAAAAAATATACCCAACGTTGAAAGTTTAAAACAACTTTACATTCAGAGAAGTCTCTGCTGTGAAGTGAAAATTATTAATAAACATCCATTGAAAACTATTATACGCCAGTTTGTATTCATCTGTTTTATTGACTATCAGAAAGTGTTTGATAAAATGTATCGGGTTTAATATTTAAGAAAAAGCATAGATAGATCGACATAGATAATAAGATAACATAGATAGATCGACATAGATAATAGATAAAAGCATAGATAGACGAGCAGGCGAATGCCACTGTTAAGAGCTTCAGCAATAATGTTCGAAGAAATGTCATTTATACGCCTACTGAGACGTACTTTAAATTGATTGTTCTGTATTGTATTATTGTATAGATACATACCTATGGATTTTATGGCATAATTTTGAAATGTCTTTCCAAGTGTTTTAAAGATGTCCATTATAAGTTGTTCGACCATTATATTCGTGCTTGAGGTTTTTACTGAAAAAGAATATAATATAAATAAAGGTAAACACTTCTCGCAATTATTTTTTTTTGGTAACCGCAACTTTGATAATATATAAAATGATGAATGAGATTGATATACAGTATGTCCCCGGATTGTCTTTACAGAAGAAAAACTTTTTTATTACTGACATTTAAGAAAAACGCATTCTTCATAAAAAAAATGCTTGTTCTAAAATGGCTAATCCCGTTTATACTTTTCAAATTTCCATACCGTTTTAGAAAAATTAAAAAAAAAATGAAAATATAGTTCATTTCTATGAATTAAGTCCTAAAAATCAAAACGCGTTTCTATGGTAATATAATTTCATAAATAAATGTCATAATTTAAAAAAAGAATACTAAAAGCATCATTTTACGAAAAGAAAATATAATTATACTAAAATTTATGTAGGGGTAGTTTTCACCCGTCCCGTACTTTTTCTTGATTTTTGTGAACGCCAAACGTTAAAGCATTTTTGTGAACGCCAAACGTTAAAGCACTTAGCAAAACATAGACACCCAAAATCGGAATAACGGTTCTTAAAACATCTAAAAAAATGTGTTTATTTTTTTAAAGTTTGGTGCCCTCTAGCGGACAAACGAAGCACTTTTGTATAGAGGTAAATTGTGTCCAATGAACTTATTTTGATTTCAAACTACGTAATAGATCTATGTCCACGGAATATTGGGACACCCTGTATATTGTACCCAAAAGTCAAATTTTTACCATGCAAACCCCACAATGAAATGACGCTTTGTGCAACAATTTTGTTGTCACCCCGAATGTGACTTATTATTTAATTATACTTATTAATTGACTTACCTTTGCCTTTTGGGTTAAAGTTGAAAATATTTTGTTTATTAGCGTCAAAGGTTTGTGTCACTTTGTAATTTTCAACTGTGTTAAATAAATATTCTATCGGAATTGATGAACTAAAAGAATAGAAAAACAACACTTTTATAAACAGAAGAAAAATCTAAAATAAAGCCAAATAAAAATTATACACTTATTATTATTTGAGTATTATAGTACTCATGTCTTTAATAATTGATTATGATTCTTACCCTGCTATGTATGTTCCCTTCTTGACAAGACTATTCAAAATTATAGTATGTCCTTTTGAACCATCAATCAGAGCTGCATTTTTTCCTATACAATCGAACACTATCGCTGTATTTGCTGTTGAATTTATTACTGCTATTTGGTAAGGTGCCGACTGCAAAAAAGGCAAAAACATGTAGCCATCTCAATAGCAAACAAATGAAGTATTATGTTTGGGCATTTGGTGATACTTATAGGGTCGGCTACACGTACAAGCTTTACCACAAGCTTACCTGTGCAAACCGGTTTGTATCGGGAACTCGCGGTGTGTAGACGGTAAAACGGTAGCACGCACAAACCAACAAGCGCGGCCTGCGTAAAGGGCCGGCTACACGTACAAGCTTTACCACGAGCTTACCTGCGCAAACCTGTTTGTATCGGGAACTCGCTGTGTGTAGACGGTAAAACGGTAGCACGCACAAACCAACAAGCGCGGCCTGCGTAAACGTCGCACTGCTAAAGATTTTAGTTTGCGCAAACCAGTTTGTGCGGTGATATCATACGTGTAGACGGTATCAGCGAGTTCAAGGTACAGTTTAGTAACTTTTGTGGATTTTGTGTTATTAGTTATCAACCTTAGAAAATGTCTGATATTCGTACTTATTCCAATAAGGAGTTTATGACGAGTTTTATTGAAATATATTGATCGTTGCCGCATGTCTATGGAAGATAAAATTGAAAGATTATTCCGATAGAAACAGAAAAAATGATGCGTACAAGGAAATGGTTTTCTATTTAAGTCAGTTTTTACTCCACTTCGATCTATACCGTTTATTTTGCTGTTTTTTTCTTTAACAATAAGCAATAAAAAACAATAATTCGTCACTTGACATTTCCACGAACGGAACCACAAATTCAGAATAAAAATAATGAATGTACGCTCTTACTTGCATCGTATGGACAACGCACAGTGTCCCTTCTAGTTTGCGCAAACTATACCGTGCAGGCAAGTCGCTGTCGTGTAGCCGCCGCTTAAACGTCGCGCTGCTAAAGATTTTAGTTTGCGCAAACCAGTTTGTGCGGTGATATCATACGTGTAGACGGTATCAGCGAGTTCAAGGTACAGTTTTGTGACTTTTGTTGGTTTTGTGTTATTAGTTATCAACTCTTGAAAATGTCTGATATTCGTACTTATTCCAATAAGGAGTTTATGACGAGTTTTATTGAAATATATTGATCGTTGCCATGTCTATGGAAGATAAAATTGAAAGATTATTCCGATAGAAACAGAAAAAATGATGCGTACAAGAAAATGGTTTTCTATTTAAGTCAGTTTTTACTCCACTTCAATCTATACCGTTTATTTTGCTGTTTTTTTCTTTAACAATAAGCAATAAAAAACAATAATTCGTCACTTGACATTTCCACGAACGGAACCACAAATTCAGAATAAAAATAATGAATGTACGCTCTTACTTGCATCGTATGGACAACGCACAGTGTCCCTTCTAGTTTGCGCAAACTATACCCTGCAGGCAAGTCGCTGTCGTGTAGCCGCCGCTTAAACGTCGCGCTGCTAAAGATTTTAGTTTGCGCAAACCAGTTTGTGCGGTGATATCATACGTGTAGACGGTATCAGCGAGTTCAAGGTACAGTTTTGTGACTTTTGTTGGTTTTGTGTTATTAGTTATCAACTCTTGAAAATGTCTGATATTCGTACTTATTTCAATAAGGAGTTTATGACGAGTTTTATTGAAATATATTGATCGTTGCCATGTCTATGGAAGATAAAATTGAAAGATTATTCCGATAGAAACAGAAAAAATGATGCGTACAAGAAAATGGTTTTTTATTTAAGTCACTTTTTACTCCACTTCCACCTATACCGTTTATTTTGCTGTTTTTTCTTTTACAATAAAAAACAATAATTCGTCACTTTACATTTCCACGAACGAAACCACAAATTCAGAATAAAAATTATGACGAATGTACGCTCTTACTTGCATCGTGTGGACACCGCACAGTGTTCCTTCTAGTTTGCGCAAACTATACCGTGCAGGTAGGTCGCTGTCGTGTAGCCGCTGCTATTTAATAAGAAATTATAGAATTCGTTGAGAAAAAAGAGTCCCATCAAAAGCATAGAATGTAAAAAAATTAAAATCTCCCAACGTAATTCTTCCACTGAAAAAAAGTTGTGAGGCCTCATGTAAAACAAAATCAGTTTACTTTAATTTAATTTCTATGCAAGCATCTATTCAACAATTTTGATATAAATTGTTAGTGTTAGTATTAGATATCTCTATTTCTGTAATAATTATACTGACCTAGCAATTGTACGGCGGCACCATAATTATAAAAGAATAATCTACCATTTTGATTACTAAGTAAATCTAAACAATGCACACACAAGTATTTTTAATTAGTTGAATATCATATCGTGCAATTCCCAAGTCGTTATAATTATTAAAGAAATAAAGATGTGTAATATTGATACTAACAATTTATAACAAAATTGTTGAATAGGTGCTTTCATAGAAATTAAATAAAATATCTGACTTGGTTTTACATGGGCTTTCACAACATTTCGACTGGATAGCCAGTTGCCGGCAGCGGCTAGAAGCTTAATTTGTAATGCATAAAGATATTTCAAGATTTCTCACTGTTTCCTTCCGTTTTTAAAGCTAAAAGCTACTTAAAATTCAAAATTTAAAGTTTATGGAACTTTAAGTACCTCAGATTTTGATGACGGTTAGTGAGTGTTACTGTCAAAGTGAGCGAGTCAAAAGAAGTTTGACAACCAATAAAAAGGTGGAAAAATTATCTAGAAGAGATTATTTCTTGGGCGCGAGTTTTACTTTTTACCTTTGAAGTGAAGAAGCAAAGTTTATCATTTTTGCCGTATAAATTGCATGGTTCAGTGTCACTTTCAGAAAATCTTTTATTTCGAAGAAGCACATTTTGAACATGATTTAGATCCAAACTAGAAGCTGAAAAATAAAGTTAGTGGTATTATTATGTATATTTGATACCAATTAAACTTTTAGTTACGTCACAAATTACCTATTACAGATGCGAAAGAAAGCGACTGCATCGGAAACCGCTCGGCAAACCCGACACGCCTATTGAGTGGTGTAAATACACCAGTCGTTTAGTCCGGAAGCCCTTGCTTTGTCGTATTCGTTTGCTGAAGCTCGCTGGTGTGACATAGTGCGTGGTTACATGTTTGTTTTTAAAAACGCGTGTAGGATTTTTGTTGAACCTTCGAACTGTTATTTCCAAGTTTTCGTAATTTGTATATCTTATTTAAAATGGGATACAAATGTGTATACTGATACAAATGTTATACTGTTCTACAAAAACCGGAGGAGGAAAATCACTTTTTAGGTTCCCAGAGGATAAGTTAAGGTAAGGAAAAATGATTAATAAGTAGGTATTAGGTATTATTCCCCCTTTTGTAATAGGAATTATTGTAATTTAGTATTTTCAAACTGATAAAATATCTAAGTACATTCGATTTAAATGAACAAAAATAGAAAAATGAAATGCTCTTTTGCATACATAATGGGTTTGTTTTTATAGTCAGTACCAAAAATAACTTGTCAATTATAACAATAATAGTTAATTTGTGCTACACACAATACTTACCGTTTTCGCCGGCCCTGGCAATGGATTAGAAAACGTCTGCCTTACCTTAGGTCTTTTTTTACATTTTCAGGTTTAATTACGTTAAATGTCATACTGATATCAAATTTTATCAAATCTAAGACGTTTTCCATTCCATGGCCAACAACTTTATTAATATAATTTTTGGCATCCCTGTAGAATTATTACGGTCATTGCAAATTAATAAATATTTTTTTCCTTCAGGTGAATTAAGCATTGATACTGGATCCACTTGTCTCGCTGCATCTCCTTTGATATCGCCGATGTCTACTCAAATGCCGTCGACTTTGACATCTAACACTCCTCGGAAAAGTAAATTAAAATGTAAGGTCCATTTGTTAAGAAAAAAGTTAATATTTGCCAAAAAACAGTCCATTACCGAATATAGGGAAAATCGTCCTTAATTAATCTAAATAATCGTCCTAAATTTCAATAAGTTGTGCAACAAATTTCTGATAAAACCTTTAGCCGAAATCGTTAAATTACAAGCACTTCTTAAAAATAAAGTTGCTAAAGCAAGAAGGTATAATGAAGAATATAAGAAATTTGCCCATACATTGTACTTTTTAGGCCCAAAAACATATAAATTTTTAGAGAAACTTTTAATTTTACCAACGAAACGCAGCTTGGAACTAATGACTCAAAATTTTATTTGCAAACCAGGTTGAGGTAATGATCATATTTTCAACTCTCTGAGTCTTAAAGTTAAAACTATGTCGGAGTTAGACAATCATTGCAATATATGCATAGATGAAACCTCTCTTAAGTCAAATCTATATTTTGACACTGGTCGAGATCAAATTATTGGATTTCATGATATTGGAACTAAGGAAAGAAAATCGTCCCTTATAGCTCAGAACGTGGCTGTAATTATTGCCAGAGGTTTATTCCATAATTGGAAACAACCGATCGCGTATTTTTTTTAAACACCAATCTTAAGTCAGCAGATATTTTAGCAATTCTTAAGGAATGTGTAAATAAATTATCAGATGTTGGAGTATATGTTCAAGGTATTGTAACTGATATGGGGTCAAATTTTATACAAATTTCAAAATTGTTAAATGTCACTACTGACAATCCAGAATTTAATGGTGGTGATTATAAACTCACATATTTTTTTGACACTCCTCATCTTATTAAGACCACAAAAAATAATCTTATGCAAAATGTATTCTGTTTCGACAATAAAAAGACATCTTGGAAGTTTATAGAAACTTTTTATAATAATGATAAAAAGCAACAATATAGATGTGCACCCAAGCTCACGGATGCTCACATCTATCCAAACAACTTTCAAAAAATGAAAGTTAAGCTTGCTACGCAAGTAATTAGCAGAACGGTAGTCATTGGGTTACAGACGCATATGACTCTGGGTGTACTTCCTGCTGAAGCACAAGCCACTCTTGAGGTAGTTGAAAAATTTGATAAACTGTTTGATTTACTAAATGCAGTGGATTTTAATCACCCTAATCCGTACAAAACTGTCTTTAAAGGCTTAGATTTTCAAAATGAATATTTAAATGAAATGGGTTTATTTTTAGCAAACTTAAAAATTTTTAATAACAATAATATAGATATAACTTTAAAATGCAAGTTTCGTACGTGCTGGATGATCACAATAAAGTCCATTCAAATTCTCTGGCATCGACTTTCTTCTATTGAATTTACCTATTTAAAAACAAGGAGAATTAACCAAGATTGCTTAGAAAATTATTTTGGCAGCGTTAGACAGCAACAAGGTAATTCTGTAAATCCAACACCTATAGAATTCCAAAGGGCATTTAGGAAACTATTTTGTCAAACTTTTTTGCATTCTTCCTTTATGAATTGTTTCGATGACTTGGGTATTTTATTAACACAATTAAAGTCCGTCAAAAAGTTCAGAATTTTATTAAAAAATGTGGCACCATTAAAAAAACATCAGGCAATAACTTTACCAGATTATAATTATAGGCATGAAAGTATAACTAGTCAAAATGCTTTTAATTATGTCTGTGGCTACATCATTAATAAGGGTCTTCAAATACATCAATGTGATATTTGTCTAAAATTTGCAAAAGAATCCGAATCTCTGGATAACTCGAAATTATTTACCCATTTAAAAGCGTTTAATCATGAAAGTGGCACTTACGGGAGTTTAAAATCGCCAAATGAAAAATTTGTTCATTTTATTTACAGGCTGGAAAAATTATTTACATTAAATTTTGACGAGTTTTGCACTGAAGAAAACATTTCTCAGAGGCTGTTTGATATAATAAAAACTATAGAATTTGACCACCCATGTGAGAAATTTCCTCTTATTTACATCATTAAATTATTTATTAGATTGAAAATATTTTATGCATTAAAGTTTATAAATAAAGATTTATATAGTCAAAAAAAGTCCGATAGAACCAATAGAAAAGTAACTATTTTGTCACATCTTTAATTAAATTTTGTTAAATAAATTAATGTTTTTATACTATAAATATCTTTTTTCCCTAATTTCCGACGAACTGATATATGACGAGCAATCTATTAAATTACTGTGAGATTACATGCCTCGATCACATATTGGTGCAGATTATTTTAACCCAAACAAATAATAACGCAAACTATACATTGATGCGGATTGTCTATGAACTCTTTCTGAAGGTCACAGAAACCGAAACGCGGAATTCGGTGTTCTTTCGCATCTGTTATAGTTAATTTGTGGTTAGGGGGGCACAATTATTAATTCATTGTTGCCAACTATAGAATAATCGGCGCCGGGCTAACTAACTGGAATTTAAATTTCCCACTGGGGATTAAGGTGTAGCTCTGCTGTAAAAAATGCCAAGTTGCCACATTTATATATTTGTTTCCTGATATTGTCATTCGATTTGACATTTTAGTTTTGTATTACGAGATTTTGATTTAAATAAATAGTGTTGTAATCCTTTAAGCTTAAAAATGTTTACTAGCTGACCTTGCAGTCGAACATTGTTCTTTTTAGAATCTCTTTTAGTGCGAAGTGTACAACACTCATCGCAAATCGCAACTTTATTAGAATATTTTGAACGGGAAAGCGGTAGTAATGGCCCTTTATGTCCCTTAAGTGCTGTTAAGAAGGTGAGTTTTGTTGATGTAAATAATAACTGTTTATATATTTATAATTAATTTATTTTTGTTTCCTAAAATATTTTGATTAAAAGGAAACATGTAAAAATGGGCAACGATGTGCAGGGTCAAGCTTAATCACGTGACTAAAAGTTTATTTGATATGAACTGTACAGGGTGAGCCTTAAATAAGTGCAAATATTTTAGTGGCAGTATATTTCGATCCCAAAAACACGATTATGTTTTTTTTCGCGAAAAAAAAATTTGAAAATTTGGAATTTTTTCAAAAAGTTATTGGATTTTTTTAGTTTTTAGTTATCAATCACAATTTCTTGATAATATGACAACATAGATAGTAGATTAAATTTACAAGAAAGAAAATGCAGAAAAGATCCAGTAGTTCTCAAAATTTAAGCAAAAAATATATTTTTTTTAATTTTCGAAGTAAAATAACTCGGTTATTTTGGATTTATTTGAATTTTTTTGCACTTATTTAATACTTACCCTGAATATTATTACTGCATGAATATTTGACATTCAAACGGCGCGGTTACTATTGTTCTTTGGTCAACAATAACAAAACAATTATTTTACCCAGGTAGATGAAAATTGGTATACTATAATTAAGAAAGAATAAATTTGTAAAATAAAGTTATTCAAAATTCGGCCAGTTAACAAGAGTATACTCATCTCTAAGTAATTTATTTATTTAAATGTCAAATTTCACAGATACTCGAGAGAAACAGGATAATTTTTTATGTAATTTTTATTGAAATTCAGAGCAAAAATTAACGCAAAGTTAATTTTTACCTAGATATAGAAAGAGAAGGAAAAATCACATAATCTATATACAATAATTACTACCTATCTCTGTATAACACTGTATTTGAGCTTAATCTATAATTTAAATACAAATCGTTCATCGGCAAATATAGGTACTTTATTACTGTTATTTAAATTTAATATTAATTTTTAACAATTTTATGGTGATGAAAAGTAAAATTTGTTATCGAGAATAAAATATTTCTAAGCTATTATATTTTCCTTCGCATATGTAGGTATCTTGAACACACCATTTTTAATTCTGGCAATATTATTCTTATTTTTATTTTTAGGAAGCAAAATACTAAATAATATACTTTACTTTCTGCTAGCACCAAGAAACATCCAAACACCAGCAAATATTTCACCCATGGTTCCATATTGTTGGATTATAGTAAATTTGATGTTTTCATTTACTTTTGTAGTTTTTATACCAACAATTCAATTATTTCATTAATGTTCTGATAAGAAATTTCCTGTTTGTTTTCTTTTTGATGGTATTTTTCACAAATTGAACCAAAATACTATTTTTCTCAATTTGATTTTTACTAAAACCAATCGTAACTACAGACCCCGTTAAATACTAAAATAATGGTAAAAAAGATTTTTTATTAATTCAAAAACCAGGGCCGGCGTAGGGGTGGGTGATCGGAGCAGTCGACAGTGGCGCCGCCTGTAAAGGGTGCCTAAAGTTACAACTAAAATATGTACAAATAGCAATCTAAATATACAGTATGTCTCCGGATAGTCTTTACTAAAGTCAAAACTTATTTATTATTGAGATTTTGAGAAAATGCATTTCTCATAAAATTTTTTGCTTGTTCTAAAATAGTTAATCCCGTTTATAGTTTCCATATTTTCATACCGTTTTAGAGAAAATTAAGAAAAACATGAAAATATGGTTGAATTTTTTCAAGTCATAAAATTAAAACGCGTTTCTATGGTAATATAACTTCGTTTACATTCTTTGATAGATTGTTATTTATAGAATATTAATTAATCAAGAAAGAAATAGTGAGGGAAATGTATAAAAAAGAAATAAAAGATTAAACGGCTCAGCCCTCAACAACTCGCAACCGTATACACCAGTGTACACCAGTGCAGACACGCACACACACACACTCACACAAACACACCTACACTAGTGTACAATGGTATTACTGTCCTCAGACTTCATCAGTATGGTAAGGAATGAGGAAGCGATGAAACCGATCCCAAAACACAAAAAAACAGGAAGCAAACGATGCACGAGGCAACGTGTGCAACCTAGGAGATGGAAAAAAATGATGAAGAAATGAAAATTAAAGATAGAAAATAAAAGGAGCAAACGGGAGCCTAAAGCACTAAATTTATGTAAGCACTAGCACCTAAAGCACTTTTTTAAATTTAGTGCAACCAAAGTTATTTTAATTTCCCCATATATACATATAAAGCGGGGGTGCTACAGCTTCTGCCGCATCCCGCATTTCGACCTCCATATTGTTCGATTTTGCCATTCTTCCTGGTTAATAGCTCTATCTCTCATGTATTGGTCTACCGCAACCAAACCAAACCAAATCCTTGACTTTGTTTGGATGGATGTTTTATTTAACCACAGGAGAGGATTTAAAAGACCGATTACTTTCTTACCTTGTTGAACTCTGCTATGTATATCTTTCTTGGACTTCACCCCCTCCTTCTTCAGATATAATACTTCCTAAATATTTATATTCGCTACACCTTTTCATTTCATGTATGTGTAGTTCAGGATCTTCAGTTTGTTCTTCTCCTACTTTCAGGTATTCGGTTTTTGTGAGGTTGATATTGTGTCCCCATCTATTGTATTATTCCTAAAGTTTCTTGAACATATATAGTCGGCATTCTCCTCACAACCTGCAATGATAACTCGGTCGTCTGCAAAAAACAAGGTCGATAGACAGTGGTTGTCAATCTCTATTCCCATAGCTCACTCTTCCTTCTCCAGTTTTTCAATGCCTCCTGGATATATATTTTAAATAAGGTAGGTGATAAACTGCAGCCCTGTTTGAGTCCTTTTGATGTCAGGAAGAATTCCGATTAGGAACTTCCTCTGTTTGATCATACTTTTTGGATTTTTGTACATATTCCAGATTGCGTTGATATATGTTTTACTCACATTTGTCTCAAACAAGATTTCAAATAATTTATTCAAAGGCACCGTGTCATAGGCTTTCCCTAAATCTATAAATACCAGAAAATTAATTACTGAAAAACATATTTATGCGTAAATGTAGTTAAAAATAATAGTATTGCATGAGACATATTCATTACATAGACAACATTCTAGTAGAGGCGCCAAAAACGGCACTCGCCCGGTTTCATTATTTTCCTTATGCCGGCCCTGTCAAAAATAAACCATTTTATTGTACAGTACGTCATGTATTAAGTTAATAATTTTATCGATAAAATTCTCATTATTACCACTACATAAAATATTATATAGTCCATAAAAACATCTGTGTAATCTCAGTAACATAATATATAAACCATAGTTTTAAAATACTTGTTGATATAACTTTTGTCTAATTATTTATCTATATCTTGTTAGTTTATCAATGGTTATATTTCACAAACAGGTAAGATTTCGACAGATGATGACAGAAGAAAAGCAGATGACGTCCATACCAATCTATTTATTTTACTAAAAAAAAGTTTCTAATATTTTTTAAGTTAACTATGGATGGGTTTAAATATAAATCAGTCATGCGTCGTCCCTTGTCGTTTTTAGCCAGTTTTATTGGTTTCTTTCAAAAATTCCAGATCATATTTCAATTTTATTGGTTTGACGGAACGATGAACGAAAAACGGAAGCCGCGCCGATGCGTATGAAGTCGCCTTTAGTCATGGCAAAATTTGAAAATTTATCGATATATTGTATCATTTGATATATATCGAGACAAAATATTGATATGAATAATATATCGAAAAAAAATATCGATATATTCTATATATCGAAAGAAATATTTTAAAATTATAAGAAATCTTATTATATACACAGTGTGCTTATTTTAACGAAACATAGGCTATATCGGATAGGAAATTGTCATAGTCCTATCCAATAGTCAAGCAGCACTAAACGCGATCAACTCAGTAACCATCAATTCGAAGTTGGTCAAAGAATGCCTAGAGAAGCTCAACAAATTAGGCAAAGAAAATAACGTCCTCCTACTTTGGTTGCCTGTTCACCAAGGGATAGAAGGCATTGAAAAAGCAAATAATCTAGCTAGGAAAGGAGCAAACACTACGGATGGAGTCTTCCAGATTCTTCAGTTCCGTTTTCAGTTGGTTCCCGTTTGGAAAACAGAACGGTTCTGGTCCAGTTAGTGGAGTGTGCGCTCCTTTCCTAGCTAGATCATTTGCTTTTTCATTGCCTTCTATTCCTTGCTGAGCAGGTACCCAGAGTAGGAGGACTTTATTTTCTTTGCCTAATTTGTTGTGATTCTCTAGGCATTCTTTGACCAACTTCGAATTGATGGTTACTGAGTTAAGTGTTGCTTGACTATCGAATAGGATGGCAATTTCCTGTTTTCGATAGTTCCTATCTAAGATAAATTGTACGCATCTTGTAGGTGCCCATTGGTTCGGAATATTTAGTTTTCGGCCCAAATACTCCTATCCCTGTCCCTGCTTTGGTTTTGCATCAGTATACCACGTTATGGTATGGTCTTTTATATGCTGAATAAGCGTTTCTTCCTTCCAATCATATTTATTACTCAATACTACAGTGAGGTGTTTCTCAAAGTGGTAAATTCTTGGTATATCATCCACTGGGAGTTGGAGAAGCGGATTTTTCTTTTTGAGGGTGTTCCAAGCCTCTGACCTGAAAATTCTCCCAGTACTGTTTCCATCAATGACCATTCTAATCATTGTCGCATTGGCATAACTACCGACGACAATATGCAGTGGTGTTAGGTCTAGAATGACCTCCATTGCTGCTGTTGGATATGTTCTCATTTAAGTAATCATGGGTCTTACTATCATGGAACACATCCAGCGCAAAATGTTAGTGGCGCAGCCCCACCTATTTCCCGCCAGTCTTCTGCATATCATGAGAGCCTTTGTGGCTTTGCTGGTAATGTTCTTAATATGCCTGTTCCAGAGAAGTTTACTATCCAGGGTTATTCCCAGATATTTCACTTCCTGTGATGGCAGTATTTCCTTTCCATCTAGATGGATTCTTTTCGGTTACCGGTCTTAAAGTCATAACTGCTTTCCCAGATAGCACAAAAGGAACATTTACATTCTATGAATATTCCTCCTAAGTTCTTATAAGTATATTCTTTTTTTAATAAGTATGGCATATGAATAGTACATTCTACTATGAATGTGATATAAAGGTATATTATCAGCATGACCTTAGAATGTTTTCTTAAATTATGGTTTACAATAAATTATAAGTATCTGCTATTCACGTTCTAAACATATCAATATCTGAATAAAAATAAAGGAGAATATAAATGATTTCGAAATGAAAAAATAATTACAATACATTATATTTGTATATATTCTTACTATTAAATTTTTGTGTATTAAATAATTATTAGGGATTTTATATATTAGTGCATATAGATGCACTGTAAACAAATATTCAAGCAAAAATACAGTGTTTCTTATTCTAACAAATAAATAAACCTGTAAAACTGTATAAATAAAAACGATCTTCCATTATGGAATAAAAAGATCGATTATACCAAAAGATTGTTTGATAAAACTCGATAGATTTTAATCGATTTTTTGGGTAAAAAGATCGATCTTCGATTGAAATCGATTCGAATCTAACATCCATAACATAACCTAACAAAAAAACAACAAGTGAAAAGTGAAACTTGGTGAAACATAAATGTAAACGTGCTTCATCCAAACTATTTTAATAATTAAAACACTGAGATAACGTAAAAGTAAGTGATGCAAATAATTATTATAAGGATAGAATCGGTAAAATAGTTCTTGTTATGTTTGTGTTTTCAGTATCTATTTTAAGGGGAGTGAATTTAATGTAAAACCATGAGACCTCGAAAAAAAATAGGGTATACAAAAAATATTTTAAAAATCAACCAAAACGAAGGAGCCAAAAAATCTTATTAAGTCAATGTTACGCAAATATGACTTCAATATTGTACATTAAACTGGATTTAGACCAAAGTGATTCTTTATTATCCTCTGTACATCATCAAAGTAGTAGTATCTGGTAGTATCATTGAAGATTTCTGTTCTAATAAGTGTAGTTCCAGTGCTGAAATTTCCTACAATATAGTATTTATATAGGTATTTATGTAGGCTCTTCTATAATCATGTATTTTGTATTTTTTAAGAGAAAGGTATTTTTTAGAATTATTAGGTTCGAGAATTATCTAGACTTGGTGGTTCAGGAGCAGCACACAGCACAAGGAAAGTGCTTTATGCGGTTCTGGGCAATGAAATTGCACAAAAATATTCTTCGGATGGGGCCAAACAGAAGAGAAGTTTGAAATCATTGTTAGTGGCCAAAAGCAATTTTAGGTATCTGAACTTAAAGATATTTGGCGTTGCAAAGACTGTAATAACATATATTTTAGACTCCATGAAAGGTCAATTTCAAGAGTCAAAAGAAACCAAAATTATCAATATAATTAAAATATGGCTTGTAAAAACAAAAGAAAGATTAAAAAATACAAAGGTAAGTTGTGCAAATTTATTTGAACAGTATAATTTTGCTGATATTATTTCAGAAGGGTAGGACAAGAGAATATAAAAACATAGACATAGAAGATAATATCAATGTATATTGTTATATTAAAATATTTTTAATAAATTGTACTGAAGCTGTGGTTGGTTCCTTGTGAAACATCGTTGAAATATTAGTATTTTAATAAAGCACGCTTTTAGATGTATCAATGAGTCAAAAGAGTCATGTTTGAAACATCTAAAAGCGTGCTTTATTAAAATACTAATAAAATATTTTTAATTAATAAACATATATTACTCAAGTTCATTTTTATCCTTACCTATTATTTTTAACCTTTCTATTTATTAGTTAGTTTTTGATTATAACACACCAAATTATTTAATTTCAGCAAATTGTTTGTAGTGTGTTCCAGATATGAATGTACTGTATAGGTATCCTATAGATTTTAAGAGATAAAAAAATTGCTAAATATGAAAAAAATTGTATCTATCTATAGTTTATAGGATATTGGTACAGTGCATCCTTATACACCCTGTAGATACAGAGTTGAGGGTTGGAATCATTGGTGTTACAACAGCAAAATAAAACACTAATTCACCACAATATACCAAAACACTTTACTTTTGAACTGGACGCTTGTTTGGTTTATCATGTTATCGTCAACAGCAGATGATTAAAACTTAAATTTTGACCATCTGCTGATGATGCTAACATGGTTAGCGAAACGCGCGTCCTGTGCAAAAGTAAAGTGTTTTGGTGTATTGTGGTAAATTAGTGTTTTATTTTGCCTCTGTAGATAATAAAAAAATATGAAAAACAGATGAAAAGCATAAATATAGAATATTAAAAACATGAATATCATATAATTGGAATATTATTTTTAAATACATTCTTTTACGAACATATAATTCACGTTCATACAATATATCTTGGAATGTGAAACGCACTTCTATATCACTTGAATAGGGTGGAACGTAATCTCTGCTATTCATGTGCCATATATGTTCCCAATGAAAAAAAGGAATGTGAATAGAACATTGTTGTTCTCCAAAGTCACTTGCTTCGCATATGAAAAGAACGTAAATGTGCTATCTGGGTTTAAATCTAAATATGACGAAAAGTATATTGCCAAAAAAACTGTAAGTTATATAAATCTTTAGACTTCAATAAACGGCCCTTTTATCCGTAATAAAAAGGGGATACAGTGAGCTAAACTTTGTATCATTGTTCAAGACCATCATTAAACTTCATTGATTGTATTCATAGTAGTCATTTGAATAGAGATTTGAATGGTCGTAGAAAAAAATATTAATATATCCCTCAGCGTAATATATATGTTATAATTTACTTTTCACTTAACCGTTTTTAAAAAAAATATTAAAAAAAACTTTTTTATTATAATAATAGTAATTTTATTAAGTTTCAAAATTTAACAAAATAGTTAAGTAAATTATTATATGAACTACGATACGACACGTCTGATAACTGTGGTACGAGTTGTTCCTCCTGGGAAAGGCATCGGCTTAAATATTCTTGAAGTTGCCGAGTCGTCGCTTCCCATCATGGATCTGCGACTTATTTATTGAAGAGACCATGGGAACATCGTAGTTAGAGAGATTCTCAGGAAACATTATATGTTTGTTTTTAAGTTACTTTAGAATGAATTTGAACGTTTAACTTGAATAAACAACGAATAACAATAAAAATATATATAGAGTAAATAAAGTCATTTGAAGGTTAAATATGGATATAACAACTCCCCCTTTTAGATAAAAGTTGACGCGTGGAGACAACTTTTAGACTGAATTCTTGTTGGGATTGAGTTCAAATCATTCTTCTTCAATAGGTTCTTCTAAATGGAAACTGGATTTTCTACGAGGCAGTATTTTCTTCCCTTTGAAGAAAGTAGATTCAACTTGATTTCATGGAGGTTATGGTGGGTAGTCATCATGAGAAATTGCAATTCCAATTCGTGATCTTCTACGGGATCTGTACTTGCAGAAGATGTAGATCAGAACCAAGGTGACAGTTACAATTTATGGTTAGAATTGTAAACCAGCCATAGTGTTTCTTAGTTTCTTCACAAAAGGTTCGAAATAATAATTTAACTTGTTACACTTAAATCTTGCAACACTTAAATCTTCTAGATTCAGTTTGCTCAATTTCAATGGTTTTAGATTTGGAATTTTGATCTTCTCTGTCTCTGGAATATTACTGTAATAACTATATGGTATTTGAATTGGAAAAGTATTGTATGTTATATTATCATAAATATTAATGTTCTTTTGACCTTGAATTCTTGTACTGCCAACAAAAGCAATACATTCTCTTTGTAACTTTAGAAAGTGTTATTATTTAAGATTTTTGTAATAATGCCTCTATTTCCACATTTAATTGTTAATGGTAAAGGATCTGATATAATTATTAACCAAAAGTTTAAACATAATTTGGTTATGCTATATTATTTTGCCATGATTAAAGAAGATTGACAGGTTTTTGGCAGGTGATCTTGTTGCTTCAATAGTTGAGCTTCACATACAGCGTCACTATCGATTGGATATGGAAATATGTTGGAACAAATTCTTATCTTTCTACCTGTTGATTTGTAAGTTTCTGGATCTTCAATTATTATGTACAACAATGAATCATCGCTACGTGCAATATATTTATAAGTTGTACTTAAGATATGATGTAAAGCAGTACGATGACCTAACACAGGAATTGGATAAATTCGATATAAAGTATATTTTTCAGGTTCGACTAAAGGTATATTTAGAACAAATACTACTTTAGAATCTAACTGATAAGCTTTCAATTCGATAATATTTAGATACTGAGATATATGGATGTGGCAGAAATTGGTAATGGAAGATTATTTCTCTTTAATGATTGAGATATATGCTTTAGCGAGTCAACCAAGTCATTTGGAGTAATAATAGAGCTGTGCAATATTTTTAATAATTTTTTTAGGTTTTCTTCGCTCATTCTACATTAGTACATACTATCGGATATTTTTACTATACATGGAGTCCCAATATTCCGTGGACAATGTGGACATGAACTACTACGTATTTTTGAAATCAAAATAATTTCATTGAACACAATTTACCTCTATACAAATATGTTTCGTTTGTCCGTAAGAGGACATCAAACTTTAAAAAATTAAACACATTGAAAGAGATTTAGAGTGCTTTTGTTTTGCTAAGCGAGTTAACATTTCATTTTTACAAAAATCAAGAAAAAGTAGGTTAGGGTGATTAAAAAAATACACAGTTGTTCTATGTCCACGAAATATTGGAGCCCCTGTATATTTGGTACGCCTGTTTTTGAAAAAAAAATCTTATTTTTTTCTCTAAAAATATGCAATGTTGCAAGAGACAAAAATGTAGTAAATACTAGAAGAATAATTTTACGATAAAAAAAACAGTGTTCAGTGGAGTTGGAAAATATTTCTTCCAAAATTTATGTAGGGGTGGCAGTAGTTTTTACCCTTCCCATACTTTTTTTGAGAAAGTCTTATAGCAAAACATAGGTACCCCAAATCTCATTCAGTTCGGCATAACGGTTCTTAAAATATTTTATAAAATGTGTTTATTTTTTAAAGTTTGATACCCTCTAACGGACAAACAAAGCACTTTGGTATAGTGGTAAACTGTGTCCAACAAACTTGTTTTAATTCCGAAAATACGTAATAGTTCTATCTTCACGGAATATTGGGACACCCTGTACAAGGTGGCGCCTCTCATACGCCGCGGAGGCTCCAAAGAGAACGACAGTTTGTATTGTAATGAAATTTTGTGAGCATATGTAGGTTAATTAAGAGTACTTTTTAAAAATATAGAGAGTTTTAATTATTTACTCAAAAAAAGCAATTTACTCAAAAAAAGCCAAAATAAAATTTACTCAAAAAAAGCCAAAATTTACTCAAAAAAAGCAATATTTCCGTATGTCACAAGGGATATAACACGTTAAAAAAGCATTTTAGTCGCCTAAAGAGTAAAATACCTACTAATAAAAAAACTCATATAGTATACCAAATTCCCTGTCAAGACTGCCCAAACGTCTACATTGGTCAAACAGCACAATATTTAGAAAACCGGTTAAAAGGTCATAAGTATGACAAAAAAAAAATAAAACTGCTCTGACTAAACATGAAAGCACGACAAATCACAAAATGAATTATCAGGAGACCAAAATTTTAGCCACTGTATACAACAAGCATAAAAGAGAATTTTTGGAAATGATCTATATTAAAAAAGAACCTGAATCTATGAATGATAGAACTGACATAAAAAACTTGAATCAAGTGTATTTTAGTTTGTTAAATTAATTTGTTTATTGTTTTCTCCCTGTTGTATATAAAAAAAATCATGTATATATAAGAAGTAATATTTTGGAAACCATAAAAAGAATAGTGTTTTTACAGTTTATTGGCCAATGAAATATAAATTAGGTTTAGTGCGATTTCAGCCGTAGTCAATATACATACGTGGATCGTTTTGGTCTTACGAATAATCATTTAAAAAAAAAATATGTAGCCATCCTCTGACAAGTTGATATTAGTTTTATTAATTATAGTAAACATTATGCTGTGTGTGTTTGTGAATTTGTTCTATGTAATTTTTGGATTATGTTCGGCACTGTTTTTTTGATTTTGGTGAGTGTTGTAAGATTTTATTTTTAACTTTCAATAGCGGGTAAATAAGTATGAAAAAAAAAATAATAATTTTTGTAAATAATTATTGTGTTTATTACATAAACTTTGTCACACTTAGCTACTTAAGGTTTTTTATACATAAACTACTTGACTCTTAATTTTAACTATGTATTCGTGATTTGTATAAATAATGTGTTTCTATAAAAAAAAAAAAAATAAAAAATTAACAGATTTTTGTGATAAGTTAATTTGAAATTGGCATTTTGTTATAGACACTAGCTACACTGATGAAGGCTGTAATGTTGGCCGAAACGTTTGGTTATTTCCTTTAAAAATGAAATAAAAATATGAAAACCCAAATGAAAACTTAATCAGAGTTTTCCCGAACCTAAATCCCAAGAAAATTACAAGGTTCAAGAATAATAAATTTTCCAAGAATATAGAGAGTTCTACAGGGCGTCCCCAAAAAAAGTTACATATCAAAGTTGTGTTTTTTGTAATGGAACACCCTATATATTAATTGATTTTCGGATTCTGGGAGAAAAATACAGGTGAGTTTTATAAGAGAAGTATATGACTGACTTACTACAAAAGTGATAACAACCAAAATAAATGACTTAACATGCTTAGCAGATGAACAGCAAGGTTTCAGATTGGGCAGATCATGCACAGACGCGGTTTTTGTCATAAGCCAGATAACAGAAAAATCAATCGAATATAACAAACCAGCGTATATGTGTTTTATTGATTTAGAAAAAGCGTTCGACCGTGTGCAGCTAAGAGACGTTGTACACCTTCTTTACAATAGGCAAATCTCACACAACCTCGTTAAAACTATACAAAACATATATGAAGCGAACCAAATTCAAGCTAAAATTAACGGGGTCCTGACCGAACCAATAAATGTAGGCTGTGGTATCCGACAAGGTGACTCCCTGAGCCCTCTTCTTTTCAACATCATTATGGACGAAATAATAGGAAATGTACGTTTACTGAAGGGATACAGTATGGGCGATCAGGAAATTACTATTCTATGCTATGCCGATGACACCGTATTGGTAGCTGAAAATGAGAACGATCTACAGCGCTTATTACATCGATTTAATTGCACTGCCAAATCACTTAATATGATAATATCGACCCAGAAAACTAAATGCATGACGACATCAAAAGTACCACAAAGATGCAAACTGGAAGTCGAGGGCAATGTTATTCAGCAAGAGATAAAGTTTAAGTATCTAGGCATAGAAATCTCAGGATATGGTAATGTAGAAGCGGAGGTGCGAGAATGGACAACGAAGGCAACCAGAATAGCAGGATGCCTGAATGATACAATATGGCAAAATAAAAACATTGAGGTGGAGACTAAAGCGAGAATTTACAAGGCAACGGTACAACCAATAATGACATACACTGCAGAAACTCGACCTGATACAGCAAAAACTAAACAACTACTAGAAACAACCGAAATGAGAGTACTACGCAGAATAGCTGGAAAGAGGCTTCTGGACAGGGAGAGAAATGAAAGCATAAGAAGAGCGTGCAAGGTGGAAAATGTAAATGAGTGGGTACTCAGCAGAAAGGAAGAATGGAACGAGCATATCAGCAGAATGGACAACAGAAGGATAGTGACAGTTGCATGCGACAAATCACCGCTAGGTTGCAGAAGCTTAGGACGTCCACGAAAACGATGGAGCGACAACTTGTCAGTCTGACCGGTAGAGACGACGAAACCAAACAGGCGATTCGCCTAGTATGAAGAAGGAAGAAGAAGAAGAAGTATATGACTAAAATGAGAAGTATATAATAAAATAAAAGGTTTTTTGACATATTTTATATTTTCTAGAAATAAAGATCAATTATTTTTAAATTACAAAAAAGCTACCTAAATTGGAATTTACCCGGTATAGTAGTTATACTAACTATTTTACTTTAAATGAAATTGAAACTTGATACAAAAAGTTATACAAGTTGAAACAAAATTAATATTGAACATTGGTCGCCTTTAAAAGCATGTTACTCTTTTATTTTAAATGGAACACCTAATATATTATTTCGATATCCAATGGAGAATTCATGCCTCTTCAAAATACTATTAAGGTTGCCTACCCTTAAACAAAGATTTTCCTAGATATTTTCATTTACATGATATGATCTGAGTAGATTTTTATTATTGGATAAAATCTAGATGTCTGTGTGATATGCCTGACGTTACTTCAACACAGCTGTCTAATTAGTCTAACTTTAACAACTTAGTATCATTTTGTGTCAGTTAAAACAAAAAACAATCTGAGAAATTTGCCGAAAATGCAAACTTATCCTACATCAGAGAGAATTGATATGATTCTATTAGTTGGTGAATGCAGTTTGCATTATATCATCCAAATATGCCTTTTAAAATGAAAAGATCCTTTTGAAAAGACAATCATTTTATGCAGTTAACTGGAAAGGAAGCATTTTGGGCATTTGATTTCATCTAGCTAATTTTTGTCACATAAGTATAGGCTTATATCTAGTTTTAATTGTGTAATAATTGGGGTTATATCTATCTATATATATATATATTATAACGTGTCTCTTTTTATTACCGTTGAGTATTTCTACAATTCTTATTTTTTGTTAAATTAACAAAATGTATATCAGCCACCCCTAATTTTTTTCAAATAATAAACATCTACTGACGCAAAATCATTAAAATTAAAATATCTAGGAAAATCTTTGTCTGAGGGGTAGGCAACCTTAATAATATTTTGAAGATATATAAATTCCCCATTGAACACCGGAATAATATACTGAGTGTTCCATTTAAAATAAAGGAGTAACAGGCTTTTAAAAGTGACTAATATTTCATATTAATTTTGTCTTACCCTGTATAACTTTTCGGGTCAAATTTCAGTTGGGTTTAATATACAATGGTTACTGTAATTAAATATCAGGCTATACAAGGTCAACTAAAATTTAGGTAGCTGTTATCGAAATTTAAAAATTAATCGAAATTTAAAAATTACTTTTCATTTTCACAAAATGTGAAATATATATGTCAAAATTCCTTAGATTTTAATAAAACTCACCTTTATTTTTTTTCTAGAATCCGAAAATCAATTAATATATAGAGTGTTCCGTTAGAAAAATCACAACTTTGATTTGTAACTTTTTTTGGGGACACCCTGTATAATTCTATATATTTTTATAAAATGCTTTTAGTTAACCTACATATGCTGCCAAAATTTAATTTCGATATAAAGTACCATTCTCCTTGGAGGTTCCGCGGCGTATGAGGGGCGCCACCCTGTGTATGACTAGATATTGAAATAATGGGAGCAAAAGTAAGTGGGGATATCATTGGAATTATATCTAGAATTATAGAGTTAATAAAGCTCAATTAAGTATTATTACAGTACACTTTTTATTACATAATATGAAAATTTATCATCCATTTATTGCCTATAATGTCTAATATTTCAATTCATTCAATCATGTATAAGATGCCTTCTAATAGCTATTCTGATTTCATTGTTGAATCTCCGGTCTCTCTTTAGTTCTTCGGCTAAACTCCTATTGTAAATCTCTCGGTAGTGTTTATCTAATATAATAAACATATTGTTGAAGTGTGGAACTCTTTTGATTATTTGCTCTGTAGGTAGACGTAACAATGCTACAGTTTCGTTATACTTTCCTGAAATAAAATATTAAATCAAATATCAAATTAAAGAACATATACATTTTTTGCTAAAATTTTGAGAACCACTGGATCTTTTCAGGATATACTTTCTATTAAATTTAATCTAATACCTATGTTGCCATATTATCAAGAAATTATAATTTTTAATTAAAAACTAAAAAAAATTCCAAAAATTTCGAATTTTCAATTTTTTTTTCGCGAAAAAAACCTAATAGGTCTCACAATACTACCAGTTAAAATACTTGCACTTATTTCTGGGACACCCTGTATAGTATGTGGTCTTGTATATTAAAATATTCAGTATCGCTGGCGAGCGCCGACTGCGCCGCTGCGTTAGAAAACAAAATAATTTTGACCGTTGACTGGAAACACTTTTGTTCGGCGATTTCTACATCGATTGTTAAATAGACATGTTCCGTCTTCCGGTATACCGGTACCAGGACAGGGGCGCTATTCTGTAAAATCGTCGGTATTGGTAAGTTACGACAGCTCTCGATACGTATTTGTATATAGTAACAATGTGTTAATTGTTGTTGGCATAGTTACCGATCGGTCCTATGGCAGATATCGCAAATTTGTACCGACGAAAATCGGTATCTCTACCGTGCCCTTGTCAACCGCACGGTAGAGATACCGAGAGTCGTCGGTACAATTTTGCGATATCTGTCATAGGGCCGATCGGTAACAATGACAACAACAATCAACACGACGCTCATTGGCCGTACGTACCGATAGCTGTCGGTAACTTGCCGATACCGACGATTGTACAGAATAGCGCCCCTGGTACCTTTGAAATATTCCGGTATCGGTATCGTCTTTTACAGGACTGGTTTCGGTACCGGTACCGGAAGATCAGTTTCAATCGGTAGAGAAAAATATGAAAATCAAAAAAACCGTATAAAACGATTTCGTTACCGGTTTTTGTGTAAAGCTGATTGCGTTCTCCAACTCTAGGTAACATATGATAAAAAAAATGCGTCAGCGATGGCTATGAAATAAAGATCGCTGTCATTTTATATGTAAAATTATATGTTCATTTCCAAGCCAACTGGACGCCGTTTTTTTTATCATTCGGTATAATACGGTCAGGAATATGCAATGTAATTTATTTTGTGAGGATTGATACGTCTATGTCTTCTTGTGGCATATAAGAATGTGGCGTCCCTCAGGGTTCAGTACTTGACCCTATTTTGTTTCTGGTGTTTATGAACGACATTGCAAATCTAGACATTAGCGGTAAAATCTGCCTCTTTGCGGACGATACTAGTTTCACTTGGAGCGGCCCAAATGTTACGGCACTATATGATACTATATCTAGTGACTTCTTCTTATAGTGCCATACTCTATACAGAGCGTCGGCTGCCTCTCGCATGTACAGTGTGACTCAACGATAGAGTAAAGTCCATTATCTCATTTGTTTCGAGGTTTACAAAAAAATATTAAATATAAAAGTTATATGTACGGTTAAGATATACATTTTAAAATTATTATAGAGTATACAGGGCGCTTCAAAAAAGTGTGGTTAATATAACATATGTTTTTTTAAATGCAACCTTATGTTTTAATTTAATCACAACCTTATGTTTTATTTTATTTTTAGATCCTGTGTAAAATTTCATAATTTTCTTATATATAATGTTATATACCTAAAATGAATAGTTTTTGTAATATTTAAATTTGTTTAAACAAATGTTAGATTGCAGTGTGTTAAAAAATTGTCAGTGATGCCTTTGTTTCTGAAGTTGGACAACTAAAATTTGATAGGAGAATTTTATAGAGATATAGAAAAAGACTTATGTAAAGATATTTTAGTTAGATGCTACAGGGTGTTCAAAATATATTTATGAATTTCGACTACTTAAAATTAAGAAATTTCAAATTTTTTAAATGGTACACCCTGTATATTATCATTTTTTCTGATAGATTTTACAAAACTTTTCAACTTTTATTAAGTATGTCATATACCTATTTGTAATAGTTTGCGATTTATTCCTATTTTTTCTATTTTTACCCATATTTTTAATACAATTACGCTATAACAATCATAGTTACCATGACAAAAAATAATAATTATCAAAATTAATTTCATGTCTGTTAAGGTAAGTTAAGAACAAAATTTGAATGTTGTCGTAGGGTGGTAATGGTAGAGATAAGAGTTACATATTTTCCTGAAATGAATTAGTCAATGTGACTAATATACACGAACAAGCCAAAAAAAAACATATTTTCTGGTTAAGTACTATATATTATATAGTACTTTGCTAAGTACTATGAGAATAGATGTAGATTATCTAGAAAACATCTTCAGTGTGTATTGGGACGGTTTGGCGGCAGTAGTAATATGGGCTTTACGAAATGAATTATAATCAGTCAGACATTACAGCCAGTCACTATATCAGTAGTCTTTAACAATTAGGTAATTTAGTATTACCTTAATCTGTTTCACGACTGCGATTTTAGTTTATTTGAGTAAAGTTAATTAATCTTAACTATTACTAACAATTGTAACTAATTATGAAGCTACTTGTTAAAGATAAGTAATAAATAGTTTGTTTTGTCAATAGTTGACTTTGTCATGATTTTATAGCATAATGGTATTAAAAATATGGGTAAAAATAGAAAAAATTGGAATAAATCGCAAACTATTAAAAATAGGTATATGACATACTTAATAAAAGTTGAAGAGTTTTCTAAAATCTATCAGAAAAAATGATAATATATAGGGTGTCCCATTTTGAATTTTGAATTTTTGATTTGAAATTCATAAATATATTTTGAACACCCTGTAGCATCTCACTAAAATATCTTTACATAGATCTTTTTCTATATCTATATAAAATTCTCCTACCAAATTTTAGTTGTCCAACTTCAGAAACAAAGGCATCACTGACAATTTTTTATCACCCTGCAATCTAACATTTGTTTAAACAAATTTAAATATTACAAAAACTATTCATTTTAGGTATATAATATTATATATAAAAAAGTTATGGAATTTTACGCAGAATCTAAAAATAAAATAAAACATAGGGTGTTGCATTTAAAAAAAAACATATGTTATATTCGCCACACTTTTTTGAAGCACTCTGTATACTCTATAATAATTTTAAAATGTATATCTTAAACTTCCCTATAACTGTTATATTTAAAACTTTTTTGTAAACCTCGAAACAAATGAGATAATGGACTTAACTCTATCGTTGACTCACCCTGTACAATAATATCTTTCGCTGGAAAGTGGAAAACTAAGTAATCTATGAACTAAGAAATATAAACTAGCCATTTTATGTGCAACACTATGATATGATTCATTAGGAATATATCTGCGTGTAGTGGTATTTTTCCTATAGATATCAAATTCAAGATGAATTAGAAAGATATTACATTAGGAATGTAGATATGAAATAGGAAGAGATTACATTAGGAATGTAGCTGAGTGTAATGGATATTCTCCTTCACTAGTTGATAAACTAATTAGAAAACGTAGGTACAGGTTAATGATTTCTGAAAATTCGACTTTTCAAGTGGAGAAAGATACGTCAAAATATTTTTCAATACCGTTTGATAGAGAGTTATCCCGTGGTCTAAAAGGAATTTTTAAGAATGTCAATTATAAACTTGTGTATAGTGCTAATAATAAATTACAACAATTATTAGGTAATTCAAAGGATAAAACACCTCCACTGGAAAGGTCGGGTATTTATGAAATTTCTTGTAAAGATTGTAATCAGAAATATGTTGGGCAAAATAGAAGATCAATATTAACTAGATTTAAAGAACATTTAGCTCAGATAAGATATGGTAGACCGGTTAAATCTTGCGTTGCCGAACATATTGTTGATAAAGAACATTGTATAGATCTTAATAATTTAAAATTAATTAAACAAGTCTCAAATTACAGGCAATTAGATGCATATGAAAGCATCAGAATTAATAAATGTAAAGATAGTATGAACAGAGACAACGGTCCAATTCCTTCTTTCTTTCTTTGTTCCTACTACTCTAGTGACGGAAATTTAACTGTTATGCTCGGTGGGCTCTGACCCGGTTGGCTAGATCTTGCCACGCCCACTCGGTGCCCACTGAGCGAGTATACAAACGCTCAACTTGTAGATTGTATTTTAGTTTATAATCGTCTGCTGATGATGCTAACATGGTTAGCGAAACGCGCGTCCAGTGTAAAAGTAAAAGCGTTTTGTTGTATTGTGGTGATTTAGTGTTTTTATTTTTTTGCTGTGTAACACCAAAGGTTCCAACCCTCCACTGTAATTTTTTACATATTTTGAAATTTTTTAAAAAATCATACAGGATTTTCCAAAAAGTGGAGTAATTTCTTAACCACTAAACTGCTTGACGTAAAAAGCTTATTTTTGGCAAACGGATTTTTCAAAAGTCAAATTCCAACGAGATGAAACTACCCTCAAATATTAGCAAGTTATATAATAATATCGCCATATTGTTTTTTCTCATGCTAACATAAATGTGAGAAAATTTTATCCAGTTTGTATGTTAATGGAAATTCTTGCTTTACTTTATCATCACCATTACAAATGATTAATTCGACGCGAACGAAGTCCCCCTGGTACACGCTAGTTATTTTATAATCGAAATTATCATATTTATTATTAATACCTGCAATTTATTTATTAATTTATATTGGTCAATAACATTTTTTTGTTAAATCACTATTAAATGCGTTGGAAATGTATCAATATAACAAGTTTGTTAAATGAGATGTTAAATGCGTTGGAAATTTTTTATAGGATTCTTTAAATTTCGGATCCGCAAGAGATAAATAAAAATAATTGAGATATGCGAGTACCTATCTGCAAACATTATTTCTAAATGTATAACAATGTTATCTAATATTTTATAAAATAAAATTCGCAAAGATATTTGACTAAGCCGCTTTTATTAACATATCGAATTGAAATAGCACATTGAGACTTTTCTGTAATATCTGTTGTATCGTCTTCTTGCACCGAATAAAATAA